GTCCGGCATTTAATTTTACTTATTATTATTTTTAACTTAAGCCCCAGCTAGTTATTTTGTTTTGTTTATTTACTTAAAGTGGTTGTTATTTTTGTAAATTTATTATTTTTATGGAGAGAAGAACTCCTTGAGTAAATTGTTTATGCTTGGGATATTTTCTTATTTTTAATAATTTTTAATTAGAGGGAGAGAATATGTAGGAGAAGAACTACTCTTAATTTTCAGGCTACTTTGTTTGATTTTTTAAGTTTTGGTTAAATTATTATTTTTTAGTCACTTTTTTGATTACAAAACTAAATCTACTCCCTTTCTTTCTTCTTTAATATTTTTTTGGTTGGGTGTTACTTTAATTATTTTTCCCAGTTAGGGTTATCGTTTCGAAATTGGCCTATGAAGAAAATTTAAAAAATTGTATTTTTTTGGACTTGTAGCTAAGAGTTTCCAGATTTTTTTCTTTAAGTTTCAGATATTCTGTAATTTCCTACGTTTCTTAATTTTACTTTTCTAAATAAGAATTCATGCTTTCACTCCTTCCTGTTTTACGCACCGCTGCGGTTTGAGATCAAACACGGTTGAATGCTTTAATCTAGTATTTGATTGTGCTTCTACTATACATCTACTATTTATTTTATGGATACTTGAGGGGGAGGTTGTTTTGGCTCATTGTTTTTTCCTTATACTAACTTATGTTTTTATTGTTGATTATTTGTGGCAAAATCTATTTCAAATTATTTAAGATATTTGATATCTAGAAATAATTATTTATTTTTCTAAACTTTTTGAACTTCACATTCTCTAGTCGTTTATCTACTTATTTCACTTTTGGCTTGTTTAAAATTTTCCTTTTCCTTGTAGCCTTCAGATTTATACTTTAGTATTTTTTTGGTCAAACAGCTGCGACGAATGAGAAAAATTCGAAGGACAAAGAAAACTGACTGACACAAAAATATATTTATAGAATGGTTGAGAAAATAAACGCGGCTAATTTTGTAGTTTTGTTTAAAAGTGGATATATATTTTGAAGATGTTTTTAGGGTGGGTGGTAATTAACTCAAACAATTTAGCATTTTTTAAACGACAATTATGCTATTCTTACATAAAAGTCGCTTTGCGTCTAGTAGCAGGTAATAACATTTAAAAGAGGAGGGTGCCAAAATCATGCGCAACTCTTCTCTTTCCGTTATCTTTTTTGTCGCAAAATCGTGCGATTTTTTTGTGAGCATTTTTAATTAAATGTTGCAAAATCCCAAAATTTTATTGTCACAATTAACTTTCCCTTCTCTAATATTTAAGCGTCTGTTTATTTATTTTTATCAGTTGGAAAATATTTAAAATACTCATTTCCTTACCTCGTTTTAGTCGTTTTCAATTTTACTATTTTCTTTGGTCATCTTCACACAATTTTTCTATTTTGGGCACATATATAAATGGGTTGACGGAAGAAGGTGAATAGTAGAAAAATTGCTGAGAAAGTAGACAAGAGAAATGTTGATTGACCACTAAAAACAGACAATTCTCTTTATTTAGTTGGAAAGCAATGCTTCAAGCTTTGAAAATTACTTTTAAATAAATTCTCTAAAAATGCGAATAAATTTGAGTTTTTTGTAGTAAATTTTTGAAAATTGAAGTAGTAAAATTTTAATTAATTTTTTAAATTCATTCCCCTTTTTCTCCTGTTGTCCAACATTTTAATCGTTAACTACCAACTATAAAATTTAAGTATTTTATACTATAGTGGACTGTCCTTTGAAAGGTGGATATATGTGATTTAAAGGACATTTTTATTTTAGCGCAGTTTTCGACCTTTTTCCTAGGCCACTACCAGCTTTTTCTTTTATTTTCTCTTTTCTTCATCAAACAACGTGAGCTCACGATTTTTATTTATTTTCTATACTAAAATTTATTGACCGCTCTCGTTTAAACATTTTGTATTTTTAAATTTGTCCTTGATTTCTTTTTAATCTTTTTTTTTACTTTTGAGTGGGTGGTGTATTTTAAATGTTTGATAGAAGATGGAAGGAGTTTTTCTATTTAGTTTTGGCTATAATTTATAATTTTTTTATGTATTGACTTTAAATTTTTATGTTTTTATTAAGGTTTATTTGTTCGATTTATGAATTGTCTTAATTTTTGGCGCTAACCAGCCTGAAAAAAGTAAAAAAAAACTAGACGTACAATTCGCTTTGGGTGTCGAATCTTATTTTTATTTTCTTATGTTGTTTTACTTTTTTCTTTTAATTTTTAGATTAATTTTTCTTATTGTCTACCTTTAAATATTAATCTATATGTTAAAATATTTTAGCAGAATTTTCTATATTTTCCTATTATTTTTTATTATTTAATTTTTTGCTAACAATAAATCCTCTAATAATCCCTCAAAATTATTTTATATAGCGCGATATTTGAAGGGATTTTTCTTTTTTATTTATTGTACTAAATTGTCCAATTTTAATCGGCTTTATAAAAATAATTTGTTTAAAGAATAAATAATAAAAATAAGCAAACAATGATGTTTTGGATTGCGACACGCATTAAAAATTGGGAAGTAAATTTAGAATAATTTTTTGATTGTTAGAGATAAGACACAGATTTTTGTGGAATTTTCACGGCTTTATTAAAAAAATTTATTTTGAATCTCCCATCTGAGAATCCCCCATCTGTTCAGCCAGAAAATTATTTATAAGAAATCTCAGACTTTTAGTATATCCCTTAAATTATCTATCCAAATTTATTTAAGATTTGCTCATCACCAAAATTCTTTCAGTAAAATAATGTATAGGTGTGTATATATACTACATATAATTTATTTTCTCTCTTTAGCTTTAATCGGTTTTGTTCCAGATGACCTATTTTTAAATTTATTTTTTTTCTCTTTTATATGCGCGAACTTCTTTCTTTTTTTAAATTCATTTATTCGGTAGATCTTTATTTAAAAAAGTATTCTTTTACTCATTTCATTTTTCTAAAAAATATTTATTTTTGAATTCCTTTTTTTGGAGGATTTTTTACAGTGAATAGAGTTAATTGCTTGCGATTGCCTTCGCGATTGCCAAATAAATATCCTCCCTCTTTTCTGTTTCTCTTTAAACTTCTTTTTTGTATCTATCCCTTTTTTTAAACTTCAAAAGCTAGAACCATCACTTTTTGTAAATTTATTTTTGTCATAACTTCTGAAATATTTTAATAAAAATTCTGAAGTTGATTTAAAAATTTTTTGTAAATTTTATCACATAATATAAGTAGTTGTATCTTGCTTAACTAATAATCAACCTCAAAAGTAGGAGGAATATCCATCCAAGTACACATAAATTTGAAAATATATTTCTAAATATACCCTCACATTTTTCTACCTTTTTTCAAAAATAAATTTATTATTTAATTTTTTATCAAAATCTTTTTGCGCTTCTTTTTTTCTTTTCTCGATTTATTTTCTATTTTTAATGGTTTTTAATTCTTTTTTATTTATGGTCATTTGATCAAAACTTCAAAGAGCTATTTAATTAATTTTCTTTCTAATTCTAAACAAATTTTTATTTTAATCGAGCCGCTTTTGCGTATTTTTTTAATTATAAAATTACTAAATAAATTTAAAATCGCTGCGTGAATTTTTAAAAAATAGAAAATTAGAAGATTTTCTTTGATTCGATGTTTTTAATTAACCCTTTTGCGATTTAACTAATTTAGGTATATTTTATGAGATCGTTCCGTTCCAATCCCGAAAATAGGGTATTCTTGACTACATACATACATAGTTAAAAATAAATTAATTATTTTTCTTTGGTAGTTTATTCAAGATATTCACACACACAAAAGTAACCTCTCCCTCAACTGTCTTTTGAGACAAAATATATTCATATTTAAATAAATATTTATTTTTGAACAATCAATGCGCTCCAGTCCACTTGAAGAATCTCCCGTTTACTCAAATATATTCTTGAACATTATCCAACCGACAAATACTTTCAATGCTTCTTTTTTCTATATTTTCTTTTCTCCTTAAAAAAATTGGACAGATTATAACTAACCAAATTTAATTTTTATTTCTTTCAATTTCAAGACTAATTTGATAGCAAAATACTTCTTTCCTTGATTCCTAGATTGTTTTATCCAAATTAAGGAAGTGGAACAAATGAGAAATTAAGGAACTATTTGGTATCTAAAAGTTGAAATTTCTGATTATGAGTTAAATCGTGACTTTGATTTTAGTTTTCTGTTTGTGTTTTCCTTTCCCTTATTTTTGTTTTTAACAAGTGTCAATTTTGATATTTTAACAAAAAGTTTTTTAAATTTCTGTCTTTTATATATTTTTAGATTATTTTAATTTCTTTTTGGCCTATACATATTTCCTTTTTTGCAAAAATTATTTTTTAACACCATTTTTATTTTTCGTCAATTTTAAAAAGCTTGCGCGAGCATTTTAGAATTCTTTTTTTTAACAGCTGCTATCTACATATTTTCTTTTTTATTCTTTTATTATACTCCGCCTTCTTTAATAATAATATAAAAATATGTATTGTCATTTGTCATGCTGTGTCCGTTCCGGACAATTGTCCGTTTAGTTTTTCTTGTATTTTTTTTTTCTTTTAAATATTTTTAACTGTCTCTCAAATGATTATGATGTTTTATTATTTTTATTTTATTATTTTTATATGCGCAGCGGCCACTACACTAATAAATAAATGTAAATATCCCTCTCTGCTCGTGCTCATCAATCACTTTTGCCTAACCACATTTACTAATTGTGTGCTTCTAACAAGAACAAATTTTTTTCTTTTCTTTTAAAAATGTTATTATTTTTGAGTAATTGTTTTTGGAATTTTTTAGAATTTTTTTTAATTTTTTGAAAATTATTCTGAGAATGTTGGACGCAATATCGAAACTTTTATTTATCTTTTAGTCTTTAATCAGAATTTTAATTTTATCTATATTTTACAGTTTTTATTAGAACCCTTACTATTATTTCTTTAAATTTAACCCTTTTCTATATTTTCTTTAAAATAATGGAAAATCCCTATGGAACTACTTCAATTTTGCCTAATTATTATCATAACACTAATAATAATAACAAAATAAACAACAATTCTTCTCTTTCACCCCATCATTTAGCTATATCTGATTCATCAGAACAACAACAACAACCCCCTCATCCAATCATTTCCTCCTCCTCTTCTTCCTCCTCTTCTCATTCTTATACTTCATCCTCTCCTTCATCACATTACCGTCCTTCATCGTTGAACAATTATGACAGTGGTGGACTTTATCGTGCCAATCAAATTTTTTCTCCAATATCCGGTCCGCAACTTGTTGCTAAGCAACAACAACAACAATATCAACATTTTAATAACAAACAGAATGAATTATTAATCCCCGAGGAAAGCAATGGCAGTCGTTTTTCAATGGTGTCAGCTTTGTCAATTGTTGATCCTCCCCGTCCTCCTTTTATTCCAAAAAAGCCTGTATTTTATTCGTCTACAAATGTTGTAAATAATAAAGAAATTTTGTCAAATAAAAATAAAAATGAAGGAAAAAATGAGGAGGAAAGAAAAGTAAAATTAGCTACAAATTATGAGGATGATTTAGATTTTAATAGAAATAATAACGGCCATCAAAAGCCTCCATTCCTTCAACAAATGCAACATTCCCCAAAAATGAAACATTCTTCCAAATTAAATAATAATTCTAATGGTAGTATTAGTATTTATCATCGAAATAACCCTCCTCCACCACTTCCACATCGTTATCACAATCAACAAAACCTTAATTCTTCTTCTCCCCAACACATTTATGCTCCACCTATTACCAGCACAACAGTTACCACAACAGCAATAACAACTACTTATATTGGTGGAAAAATGCCTTTAATTACTAATTCTACTAATGAGGATTCTTCGTGCAATTGTAGCGAAAATTGTAGCAAAAATGAAAAATGCAGCAATTTTAGTGAGAAAAATAGTAGCACAGATGGAAGTACTACAAATAGCTGTAGTAATAATGAAAATATTTATGGAGAATCTTGCTACGGAAATGAGGCTTCAACTGGAAAAGATGTTTTAATTAATAACAAATTGTTAAAAATGGGAAAGCCTACTTGTTTTGAAATTGCAGAAAAGTTGGGAAGTAATTGTACTAAAAATACTAAAAATTGTACAAGTTATTTTCCTGTTGTTGAACAAAAGGAAGATAAGGAATTTAAAAAAGAATTAACTAACAACAACAAAAATTTATTTAAAAATTCCCCTCCCTCTCCACATCAAATAGAATCTTCTACTTCTTCTGTTAAGGCTGTAGCAGCAGCGCTTGTAACAGCAGATTTACGTGCTCGTTTTCGTGAAAGTCAAAATAATTTATATGATAAAGGGAAAAGACATTCTTCAACTTGTGTTTTACAACAACAACGGCGTCTTTCATTAGTTGGGGCTATATCAGATTCCAATCAGGTGTTGAATTTTGTATTAAAATTCTGAAGAGGTTGTATCCGTTTGTTTTTAATTAGTTTTCGATCGTTTAATGATTTTTTAAATTATTGGAAAATCAATTTAATGTTTTTTTTGCTTTAAAATTCCTTCAAAGTTATTAAATTCCTTAAAATAAAAATTATGCAAAAAATATACTTTAATTTGTTTAATTTATCATTCAAAGAATGTTGCCCTCTCTTTAAATTAGTTTATCAAATTCTTTTTTTTCAATCTGGTTTCTTAAATAGAAATGTTGTAATAATTTTTTGAATATTTTTTTACTAAAAAATTAGTAATTTTTCCCTTAAATTTTATAAATTAATTGACCGATTTAAGGAGCTGTTACTTTTATTATTGGAATTTTTAAATAACAAATAAATAGATTTTTTGAATATTTTTAAAATATATTTACGCAATTTCTCACAAACATAGCGGATACAACTTTTTCTCCTTCCCTTCTCTAAATTTCCAAATCCTCTCCCCTCAATAGATGACATTCTCTTCTACCGGTACAATTAGTTCCTATGGCTGTTCTGATGCTGGAAAAACACGTGAGGGCCGTATTTATGCCACTGCAGGTTTTGGGGCTGCTGCAGCTGCTCGAAATAGAAAGAAAAAATTAAAAAATAATAATGGAATAATTGAAAATAAAAATAATGAAATTTGTGAAGAAGAAAATGTAAAAATGAGACAAGAAGGCTCTCAATCATGTTTAGTTAATGATAATAATCAAATGAGCGTTTCCAACTTGACGAACAATAAAAATGATCAAAATTCTTTTGGGACTTTAAAAAGCAACAGCGGGGCTTCTATTGGAGCTTTTTCTTTGGGAAATGAATTTATTTATGAAACAACGGGAAAATCTACCCTTGGAAGAAGAGCACAAAAATTGGCACAACGAGCAGCGCTTAAACTTAGTAAAAGTGGGGGAACACTTTCAGCAGAATTAAGTAGTTCGGCTTCGGCAATTTATGCACTTTTTAGTGGAAATAATTTTAATAATAATAATGGATTTGTTAATGAAAAATGTTTAAATGGAGAGAATGTTAGACCTGGAAGTGATGATTTTTTATTATTAGGGAAAAAGAAAGGAAGTAAGAGAAAGGGAAGAAAAAAGTTGGAAGTGATATCTTCTACAGGCTGTTATTGGATGGTTATTGATAAAAATTTTTTAAATTTTCTATAGGAGATTTATTTGGAAAACTTTAATATATTTTGTTAACTAGACATACACATTAGTGTTATTTTTAATTTACAAATCAAGGAATTTTTTTATTAAAAATATTAATTTGGGAGCAGGGTTGTCTGCTTTTTGTTAATCCTCGGATATCCTTCGGAACTGTAGAATCGGGCGAAAACCTCTTGGTTTTTCTGTCCGTTTAAGTTCCCGAATCGACAACACTATTTGAGAGGAAATATTTTTTCTAACACCTTTTGAATAATTTTAAATATTTTTGAAAAATAAAATAAAAAATTTAAATAAATATTTAAAGGACAAAACAACCCTCGTTTCAAAACACACGGCAAAGGGAATCGACTTTCTCGATAGTTTTGGCTTGTTCATTAAAGAACGAGCTCAAATTGAAGAGGAATATGCTAATAAATTGAAGTTTGTTTTTTGGAATTTTAATTTAGGAAAATTGAATTTTATCCTCACTATAAAATCAAAATTTTATGGTTAAATTTATTTGAATTTAGCGGCTTAAGCTTGAGTACTGCTTGTGAGTACCCCCCCCCCCCCCCCCCCATGAGGTTGAAAAAGCGTATGTTATAATGTTATACTGAGTCTAAATATTTACACTGAATGAGGATATTAGAAAAAAAAAACCTCTACTATTCATTAAGAAGATAATAAATATTGTAATAAATACAAGTGCTTTCGTAAATTGTGCTTTCGTACAATGCTTTTCGTAAAAAGCATTCACAAACGATAAATGTTGTTTAAATTAAAACATTTAAATTATCCGAATATTTTAATTTAAAAATTATTTTTTAGAAATTTATCAAAAAAATCACGAGGCAAAAAGGCTTCTGATGACGAATTTACTTCATCGAGTGCATTTCATGCTTTTTTGGGAGAATTAGAATCTCTTGCCTCCCAACACGAAGTAAAGAATTTTCTTTAATTAAAATTAAAAAAATATTTTTCAGCTTGTTGTTGAGTGTTTACGGGATGTTCTTCTTCCAAAAATTAACGATAAATGTCGTCAATTTCGAACTGTTCGTAAAAAACATTCACAAAATTTTGAATTAATGGAGAAGGATTATAATGCTAAAGTAGATGAATTACAAAAGCAGAAGAAAAATTACGAGTAAATTTTTAATAAATATAGGGAATTAATTGGAAAAGTTTGTTAAGAAAAGTTTGGTTAAGTTGGGTGTTTTTGGGGTATTAACTGATTTAGAGGGAAGTTCGATACTTGTTGTGAGTTTTGTTGTTAATAATGAGTAGACAATGATGAACATATGCTTTCATGTTTAAAGAAAATATTTCCGTGCTAAGTAGTAACAATCCAACTCTGAGTCTACATTTTTTCATTTTTTTGCTTAAGAAAAAGGACCTAACAAATTAAAGAATTTAGTTTAAAAATTTTTCTTTTTATTTTCTAATTTATTTTTGAATATTTTTTTTTCATTTAAAGAAAAGCACATATAGAAGCCCAAAATGCCCATATTAAACACAAAAGAGCGTTCGAAAATCGTTATTTATCTCGTCATGAAGTAGACAAAGCTCAGTTGGCAGCGAACAATAAAAGTACAATTTGTGAACAAGGAAAACAGGTTTTTTGGATTTAAAATTCAAAAATTATTGTTAAATTTATTCCCAAAAATACTCGAAAAACAATTGTAAAATTAATTTTTTAAAATTAATTTTTATCACAAAAGATAATTTTAAAATTATTTTTATATAATTTTTGATTTTTTATTTTTTCAGAATTACGCATCTCAATTAGCTGCCACAAATCAAGCAAAGAGTGATTTTTACAATATTTTGTTGCCTCGATTATTAGAAGAAATGAGACAACTTGAAATTGAACGAATTGATTTTACTAGAGAAATTATGTTGGAAAGTGTTAAGGCAGAAACTGGTGTTTTACATATTAAACAAAGGTTTTTTTTTAATAATTAAAAAGTTAAGAAAAATATTTTACAAATTAATCAAAAAAATTTTTTAATTGTAATTGGGTAATTCAATTTTCATTTAATTCTCATTTAAATTCTCAACAATTTTTCGATTGTTTTTTAAAAAATACCCTCTCTAATATTTATTTACTCCTCGAACCGAATTGAGCTGAAAAAATTCATAGGGTGGTTGCTATATCGGATTGGTTTGACTTGAATAATATATTTGAAATAACACAAAAAATTATTTTTATTTTATTTCCCTCAAATTAATTTAAAGAGATATTTTTAGGTGTTATGAAGATATGAATAATGCAATTAAAACAGTCAATCCAGAACACGATACTTTATTGGTTGTTGAACAAACAAAGACTGGATATACACATCCTGCTGACTTTGAATTTGAAGATTTTGGTAATTAATTTATTTTGTTTTTATGAAAAATTTATCCAAATAAAATTTAAAATATTTTCGATTGTTTAATAAAATATTTGAAACGAAGAAGAAGTGTCAAAAATATTTTTTATTATTCAAAAATAATTTAAAAATTATAAAAATAAAGCTAGCCCCGTACGGGTCTCGATCCCGTAACCTTCAGATTAAAAGTCTGACGCTCTACCAATTGAGCTAACGAGGCTGTTGGATAACTTTCTCTTATTTAACGTCAAATAAACTCAAATTAAATTTTTATATTTTTAATTTTTTAATAAATTAATTTTATTCAAAAAATAAATTTAAAAAATTACTTCAAAAAATAATTTTTTTATTTTTAAGGGGATCCAGCTAAATTAAGTGAAGATGATACGACATCTTTTGATAGTTCTACGATAAGACGAATTGGAGGGAAAAACGTTAACGGAAAGGGAATCCCTCGAAAGCATTCTTTGAAACTTTTTAACAATTCTATTGGAAATAAGGTAATTCAAATTTAAAAAATTATTTTTATTAAAATTTTTTTTTAATTTTTTATATTTTTATTTTAAATAAGTATTTTTATTTTTTTTAAACTTTATTTAATCAAATTTTCTAACTTTACGTATTTTTGAATTATTTGTTTTCCTTCCCTTCTCCTAACCAGTCAAATTAAATAAAAATTTATTTTCTTTCATGGCCTCGTTAGCTCAATTGGTAGAGCGTCAGACTTTTAATCTGAAGGTTACGGGATCGAGACCCGTACGGGGCTAGCTTTATTTTTATAATTTTTAAATTATTTTTGAATAATAAAAAATATATTTGACAATTCTTTTTCGTCCTAAATATTTTTTAAATTAAATTTCTTAATTAAATTTATTTTTTAAGAGTAATGGCAATAGCAGCACCGGCAGTTCTCACACTTCTTCTGGCTCTAACATTGGAGAATATGGCAGTTTACCTCCTCAGCAACGCTGCCGTCGCATTCAAAAGAAACTTGAAGAATTAACTAATGAATTGAGTATTAAAGAAAATTCTAAGGTTTTTACTTTATTTTTACATAATGGGGCTTACCCAGTTTAAGTGTCTAAACAACCTTTATACGTCCAAACAAATTTCTGTGCGTCCAATCTATGGCGATAAGTACCCGGTCTGCGTTTTAGACAAAAGATCCAGTATTATGAAGATGTACCATATCTCTTGTTAAGTAGAGCTCTCTATTCCCTAGTTTTTATGGTACTAATTGGGCCTTTCGTAAATAGAGACCATAATACTGGACCTTTTGCTGGACGCATTAAAATTCATGTGGACGTATAAGCTTTTCATTGGATGTATAAAGGTTGCTAGGACGCTTAAGTCATTTGGATGCTTAAACTGGACAATAGCCTTTTTAATTTTTGTAAAATTCTATCCTTCATTTCATTTAAAGGAAGGATTAGAACGTCTCTTATCTGTCTACAGCAATGGAGGATCCTCAAATAATGGAGGATCTTGGGGTGATCCTCAAATTGTCGAAAAACAAATTGAACATAACAAATGTGAAATTGATGCATTAAGTGAACAAATTAGAAGATTTAAGGTAAATTTAGATTAATTAAAGTATTAAAATCCTTCGGGATTTAAAGCTATTTTTTGTATATAAAAATAATTGAGAACAGAAAAATATTCATGTAAATATATTTTTTATTATTCAAAAATAATTTAAAAATTATAAAAATAAAGCTAGCCCCGTACGGGTCTCGATCCCGTAACCTTCAGATTAAAAGTCTGACGCTCTACCAATTGAGCTAACGAGGCCATGAAAGAAAATAAATTTTTATTTAATTTGACTGGTTAAGAGAAGGAAAGGAAAATTAAAAAATGAAATTGTTTAAATCTTAAAAAATAAATAAAAAATATTTTATTAATTCTTCAGAATCTTCTTTCGGATGCACAAAGTGAATTAAACCAACCATTAGGCGGTGGTGGAGGTGGTGCTCATCTTAATACAACAACAAATTCAACTATTAGCTCCTCTCCAAATTCATCTCCTCGTGGAAGTGCGTGTAGTGGTGGAGGAGGAGGGGGAATTGGAAATAATAATGGTGAATAATTTTAAAGATTTTTTTGAAAATAAGCTTTAAATCCTTTAATATTTAGTTTCTCGTTTGAACGGTCTAAACGGAAATAATCATCATAACGTCGGTGAACGTGGTTCGTATTCTGAGGCTTCCTCTATCTCTTCAGCAGATGGGGCTGGTTCCTCTCTTCATGGTACAAAAATATAATTTTTTTCAAAACTTTGTCTAAACATGTACATCTCATTAAGGAGGAGTAACTACTTCTGTTGTTGGACATTCAGCAACTAACGGCGGCGGCACTCGTCTTTTGCCGCCCCCACAACCATCTCCAGTACAAATTGTTCCTTCAGTTTCTCAACAAAATACAATTCAACAAACTAGTAGCACTATAAGCACTAGCGGATTTTGTAAAAATAAAATTTCTATATTAAATTTTCACAACCCCCTTACTCTCCTTTTAGCCTCAAGCTCCGCTGCTTTAACTCCCGTAACTTCTTCCACAAACATCAAAAACAATATAGCTGATGCTAGCGGTGGTGATTTTTACGAGGAATGTGATGGACCTGTAGGAGGGATTGATGGAACAGATGGAGTACAACATTCTGATATGGTTTTGGGGACTGCTTTAGCTCGGTACTTTTTTAAAATTAAAATACAAATATCAACCATCCATTAAAGTTATCACTACGATGCAACACCAGATGAAGCAGGCGGCACAATCATAACAATGAATGAAGGAGACGAATTATTATTGCTTGAGAGGGATATGGGCGATGGATGGACTAGAGTTCGACATAGAATTTCTAATGCAGAGGGCTTTGTTCCTACTAGCTATTTGGTAAACTTTAGACAAAAAATAAATTGGGTTGGTGATTTCCAGTCGACCGACATTCGAGGCATTCGAGTTTTTTCATTGAAAAATCTTATTGTTGTCAAGTCTAAAAAGGGATAATTAATTAGGTTGGATAAAAAACCGCAACAGAAACCTCTCATTCTTCAAGGGTGGGGGGGGGGGGATTTTTTGAAGAATAAAATACATAAATATATTTTTAGGACTGCAAATGGTATGGATCTTCGACATCACGTTAAATGATGCAATATTTTTATATATAAAACGACTTACATTTAAATAAATACAAATTTTCTTTTTTTTTACCCCTTAAAATTCATTAAATTTTAATGTTTTTTGTGGGAATCTGTTTTAGTTTTTTTGCTCAATATTTAAATATATTATTTTCATAAAAATGGAGAAATATTTTTTTCTCAAAAAATATAAATACAGAAATTTTTTGTGGAATATTTTAAATTAATTTTAATCCAAAAATTAAAATTTTTATTAATTAACCAAAAAAATCCAATTTAATTTTCAATTATTTTCGCTTAATTTTTTCTCTGCGCAATTTTCTGTTTATTTGTCATTTTCTGTTTTTTTAACTAAATATAAAAAATATATTTTTTTAAATAATTTCTAAGCTCATTTCTTTATTAAAAAATATTTAGAAAAAGTTTAATTTTGAATTCTTTAGTGACAATTATAAAATTATTATTAGGGTTGGATTTTTCGAACCGGGCCGACGTTCGAGTCATTTCCTGGCCGAAATTCGAGGTCCGGTTCAATCTTACGGCCCGAACCGGGCCCCCAACCCTAATTATTAAGTATTATATTGTAACTTTTTTTGTTTTGATTTTCTGCTTAATTTTGACTTAATTTTAAATAAAATTAATTATTTATTGAGAAAAATTGATTTAAATAATTCGAAATTGTAAAAAAAATTTTTTTTGTTTTTTCCTCGGATAGAATTATTTTTTTAGAAATACATATTCACATAACAGTTAGACGACGAGAATTTAAAAAAGAATAGAGAGAAAGAAAGAATTATTTGTTTAATGTTTGTAACATATAAAATAAATGGAAGTTGGATAATGGAAGTTTTATAGATAACAACCCCTTCTACCGGGGTTATAGTTTTCCTGAATGCGCTTAAAATTAATTTTTGGGAAGCGTGTCTTTTGATGCGCGCATTAGAGGATTTTGATATCCGTAACCGGTACGGTGGATATCCGCAGGTATTTTGAAATTATGTGTCCGTATCCATTACCAAGCCTGTTTTCGATTATTTAAAAAAATATTTGAAACGAAAAAGATATTTTTTATTTTTTCATTATTCGAAAATAATTAGGGTTTCGAACCGTTATTTTTTCGGGCCGGACCGGTCGAGTCTTTTTCGGGCCAAAATTCGATGCCCAGTTCGATCTATCACCTAAAACTGGGCTCCCAAGTCTAAAAATAATTTAAAAATTATAAAAATAAAGCTAGCCCCGTACGGGTCTCGATCCCGTAACCTTCAGATTAAAAGTCTGACGCTCTACCAATTGAGCTAACGAGGCCACGAAGGAAAATAAATTTTTATTTAATTTGACTGGTTAAGAGAAGGAAAGGAAAACAGTAAAATTAAAAACTGTTTACTAAATAAAATTATTTTAAAAATTAAAAAATTCAAAATATTTTTAATAACATCAAAAAAATTTCCAAACAAATAAAAATAATTTTTTAAATTTAAATTACCTTATTTCCAATAGAATTGTTGGATATAGTTTAGTATACCGTAGCCTTAGTTTCGACATCAAACCTTACCATTCGATTCGTCTCGACGAGCTGAGTCTAACGGTGCCACTTTTTTCCGGAGATGCCTGTGACCGAGATATCCCTGAAAATCGAAAACCCATAGCTGATCTCCCTAAAAATAAAAAAATATTTTGAAGCAATTTTTTAAAATTTATTTTTTAAACAAAATTAAATTAATTTAAGAAATTAAAAATATAATTTTAAAAATTTAATTTAAGTTTATTTCACGTAAAATAAGAGCAAGTTATCCATGAGCCTCGTTAGCTCAATTGGTAGAGCGTCAGACTTTTAATCTGAAGGTTACGGGATCGAGACCCGTACGGGGCTAGCTTTATTTTTATAATTTTTAAATTATTTTTGAATAATAAAAAATATATTTAAATATTTATTTTTTGTTTAAATATTTTTTAATTAAATTTTAATTTAATTTTTTAAGAGTAATGGCAATAGCAGCACCGGCAGTTCTCACAATTCTTCAGGCTCTAACATTGGAGAATATGTCAATAACAGAACAAAATTAACAGGAAATGTACGAGTTAATAATTAAATCTAATTTAACAGCAAATACTCAAAAAAATAAATTTTAATTTTTGTAAAACAGAAAAATGAACTTTTAACGAAAACAATTAACTTTTTACCGATGGTAAAAAATATTGAATTCGTGGTATCTTGTAGCGTACTTAATTCACTATCCATTGATGCCAGGAAAATTAAGAATTGACCATCCCTTCATAACTTATAAGAGCCGAGAGACTCAGTTGATGTCTGCTAGTGATGGTCGAGACTCTCGGTTAACTCCCGACCATCACTAATGTCTACCCATTTTAACTTTTCATATAGCCATCAAATAAGAGTAGCAGTTTATTTATATAACTTGTTAGAGAAAAATAGAAAAAGAAATTGCTTTTATGTTAAAAGAAGAGAAAGAAAATATATTTGTTTATATCTACAACATATCGAATATTTTCTTTTAAAGAATTTAATATTTAATGTTAGTCCTTTGTTAAACTGTCCGATGTCCGCAAAGTGTCCGTATTGCGTCGTTCCGCAGACGCTAATTTTTGGGTAGTGCACCTTCGGGTACACGTAAAAGCTTTGTTTTTGGTAGTTGATATTATTTGGTTGTATGGTACTTGTATTTTAATTTATCGTTTTGTTGCAATTAAATTTAACAAAAAATATTTTGATAAAATCTAATACTACATAGTTAATGAAATTTTTTTTGTTTTAAATCAAACATTTTATTATTCCTTTTGTAAATCCACTTATAAACAGACTGCGAGAGAATACCTAAAGAGACTAAATAAGCACATAAAAATGAGAGAGACTTGAAAAAGAATTTATCTAGTAAATGTAACTCGTAAAATAATTTATTTTCAAGAAAAGGAAAATTTTGTTATTAAGTAAGAGACTTTGTTTCCGTGTTCCGGCCGTCTTCCGACGTGTCCGCTTTCCGTTTTCCGAGTGCGTCTTTTCTGCAGACGCTAATTTTTGGAAAGCGTACTTTTTGGTACGCGTAAAATTGTTTGATAGTTTTAAATGCTAGGCATATTTGTACTGCTAGTTCGAAATAAAAAAAGGAAGATTTTGTTACTAAACAGTAGATTTTGCTTTCGAAGATGATAGATTTAGAATTTAACTTAATTAGAATTGTAAAGCATATAGGCGGGGTGATGTAATGAATAACATATCAGCTGGTCTACTGAAGATGCGCTGGTCGAATAAAACCGTCGAATAACTTTTTTGCTGAGGGAGACAAATAGTTGGATCGACTGAAGCTGCTTCTCTCTCTTAACATCATTAAGCAGTAGATTTTTTACAAAAAAATCGACAAAAAATGGCAAAAACGGGTGTTTTTTCAATTTTCAAAAATTCATAACGCGGTAGAATAACGACCGTTTGGATGCGGTCTCTTGCATTGTATTCAGAAGCTGAGGGTAGTTTGGAAGTGTGTTTTAATCTTTACAGAATTTGTCTCGAGTGTATTAACCGGTACTCCCCGGTTTTTGGTTAAGACCAATTTTCAACCTCCAGTTAAAAATTCCATACTTAGGGGTATATTTTTAAATCGAAACCGGACGTCCGGATTTCATTTATCTTCAGTTTTTGACCCCCGGTTTAGGTTCGATTAACCGACCGCCAAAAACCCTAGTTTTTAATATACCGTATTTCCTATATTAGAGCCCCATGGGGCTCTATTTTTCAACTATCCTCCAAGGTGGGGCTGTATTAAAGGGTGGGGCTCTAATTGAGGGTGGGGCTCTATTTTTCAACCCTCTTTTGAGATAGAATCCCATTTATTATATCCGTTGCAACTAGAGATAAGTCGGAGGGCTTGGTCGATAAATCCGCAAAATATCGAAAGAGAATCTATATTTTTCGATTTTTCAAGAAAAATCAAAACTTTTTAAGCAATGAATAACAAAATAATCCCAATAGTTCAATGAGAGTAAGATTAATTATTAAATATTGGTAGATTTGGACGAATTAAAGGTAATATTATGGGACATTTATTTGACATCGATGGATCAGAGGGATAAAAATGAATTTTAAGTAATTATGGGGAATATCAGAGGATTAAGTTTATATTGAGAGATTTAGAGGGATTATGAGGGATATTCTGGACTACAGGTATTAGGGGGCATATGAAGCGATTTTGTTTGACGAAGCTTTGGAACAGGTTCCACAACTGGAACTGAAGAAATTCAAAAATCAGTTACAGAACTGAAACCGGTTCCAGAGAAATTTTCGAACTTCTCCATCACTGATTAGATCTCTAATAATCTCGCGAATTATCATCAAGTGCCTAACACGATTGCAACCCTTTATACAATGATTAGATTTTGAAGGTAATAGGAGGGATTTAGAGGAATATAGGCGATATTAGAGTGTTTGGATGGATATAGGGGTTATCTCCTCCTTTTCATCCATATATCCCCATGATCCCTCCTCCTCTATGATCACGATATCATCGAAATCCCCCTCTATTTCCTTAACTCTCTTAATACATCTAAAAAATTCTTGGGATATTTTTTTCCTCCAATATTTTTTAGGTGGGGCTGTATTTGGGGTGGGGCTCTAATTGAGGGTGGGGCTCTATTTTTCAACTATCCTCCAAAGTGGGGCTGTATTAGAGGGTGGGGCTCTAACAGAGGGTGGGGCTCTAATTTAGGAAATACGGTAAGTTCAATTTTTATTTGTTTAGGACAAAATAAAGGTGAAAAAAGGAGATGAAATACATATAAAAGAAAAGAAGAAAAGAAAGAGAAAAGGAGAAATAGTATATGTAAAAAAGAAATAAATAGAAAGAAAGAGAATAGTTAATAAATAAACAATTTAAGCAGAGGAACAACTCGTCAAATAAAATAAAAAATTATCTACAAAAGATTAACAAATAATAATTAAAACATCCCTGGTCCCTTTGTATTCGGACGAAGAAATCTTTCGCCTTTTACTAAAGATTTCCGTGCAGGGGGACGCTTATGGGTTTACCCTAATTTTTGGAAGCATTTCCTTTTGGAAATGCGTAAATTCTTCTTTTAATGGTCAAAGTTAATTTTATTTAAATTTTTATTCGGACGAAGAAATTTAAATAAATACATGTACATATGTCTATAAAAAAGACTTAACAAATGTGAAAATGGACGTCGTTCTTGCAAGACAATTAACGAAAATACGTGATTTCGATTAATAAATTGGTGAACTTCCATCAAAATTTAGAAATGTTTGAATTAAAATTATTAAATAAAGGACAAATTAAAGGAATGTCTATCATTTTGTTAGAGAAAAATAGAAAAAGAAATTCTCTTTAGAAAAGAGAAAAAGAATATTTATTTACAACATATCGAATATTTTCTTTCCAAAAAATAAAATAAATTTTAAATGCTCTTCCATTCTGTTGTGTATGGGTGTTTAGTATAAAAGCCAGCACGTCGACAAGTCTCGGACACACCGCGTCGATGTGACGCTAATTTTTGGGTAGCGATTCGACGGGATCGCGTAAATTTGATTGGATATTTTTTCTAAAAATAAATATTTTATTTTATAATTTTGGACTTTTATTAATACATAATGTAAATTAAAAATTAATTAAATATAAGGATTAACAAGATTATTTAATTATAATTAAATCAAAACTGATATTAAAAAATTTAATAATATTTACTGTATTTACTCTCACTCCACTATTATCTCCTACAACGAGAGCTGAAATAATAATTTTTTTAATTATTTACATATTAAATATTCCTTCTAAACTAATTATTTAATTCTCCAAATTTTATTTTGTAAATTCCAAATTTATTTTTAAACGTTCCACTTAGAGAGCATCACCAAAATTCGGCGAAAAACAAGAAAGGGAATATTAATTAAATTAATTAATTAAAGAAAATTTTGTATTTAATTATAAAAGTATATTTTTAATTAATTTTTCTTTTTAAGCAATTTTAGAGGGCGTTAATAGTCGTTTGATTATTTAAGATTATTATTTTTAAATAATATTTTTATTTATTTGAAAATTAAAAAAAATAAAATTTAAAAATCAAAATTCTGATTATTATTTAATTAAATTTGTTAAAATCAGAATTAGGTATTTATATCTTCAATTTCTATTGAAAATAAAGAAAATATTTTCTAAATATTAATTATACGATAATTAGAAAATAAACGAAATCGAGATTTCTAAAATATTTTAGTTAATTTAAATGTTGATTACATATTACAGTCTACTTTTCCCCTTTTTATTTCCAACAAATGTAAATGCTGGATATGGACATGGTATTTAATTGTTAATTAATTTAATTAGAAATTGAAAATTTTTGATATTCTTCTCATCTTTCTGAAAATTTTATTTAATTTTTTTAAAGCTCCAATGCGTTACTATCATCAACAAACCCAACAGCAACAACCTACTGTGCCACAACTTTATGTAATTAATTAATTAAGAAACGAGATTAAGAAATAAGAATTTCTATTTTTATTTCCAAATTTTTAAATTAAATTTACAATTTCCCTGATACAAAATTCTCCTCCCTATTATTCAGTTTTAGATCTCATCTGTTTGCCAAAATTATTTTTTTTAAATTTAATTATTAAAAAATTTTTTTAACCAAAAAAGATATACTAAATAAATTAATATTTTAAAGTATGCACCAAATATAAATTCACCGATTCCTTTACATGTTCAAAGAAGAATTATGCGTTTTTGTACAAATAAACATCCAGAACATCCTAAATGCAGGTATTAACCGGGCATGGTCATTAGGGTTGCCGTTTTCGAGTCGGGCCGACGGTCGAGGCATTTTTTTTCGGGCTTGTTTTTATCGAGTCGGGCCGGTACGAGTCTTTTTCGGGCCTAACTTTATCGAGTCGGGCCGGAACGAGTCACTTTCGGGCCTGATTTTATCGAGTCGGGCCGGAACGAGTCACTTTCGGGCCTGACTTTATCGAGTCGGGCACCGAGACATTTTCGAGTCTTTTTTTAAAAGATTTATTTAAAGATAATTAGTGGATTTGGAGGGATATCTGTGATTTAAAAGGTATATCGATGGATCTGGAGGGTAAAGGAAGGGCTGAAGAGAATTGAAATGGATATCAGTGGATTTGAGGGATTAAGGTGATTTAAATTATCGGAGGATTGGTGTGAGATATTGCTAGATTTGGTTTTATTAAAGGAGATTAGATGATTAAGGAGATCAGCATCGTATATCAGATGATTAAGGTGATATATTGTAATGGGATTTAAAAGGATTGAAGAGATTTGAAGGGATATCGGGGATTTGAGGATAACGCAAGATTTATGTGATATCGTGCGTTAATCACCAAACCCTTAATAAAATTCCACTGTATTCTAAAATCCCTCGTATCCTTTTTTACTCCGGCGGTAATGCCACCAAAATTACTGGTGCCAATTAAATACATACTTAATCCAATTGCGTATTCAGGGGGACTGGGGGGGGGGGCTAGAGCCCCCCACCCCCCGGAATGGGGGAAAGGTGGAAAAATTAGTAGAAGAATGATCGAAAAACTGAAATTTTTGCGCCTACAACCCTCAGATTTAAAAAAATTTTCGCCTGCGGTGCTAAAAATGGAAGATTTGTTGACTGAAGATTGCGACTGCGTATTTTAGAGTTAAAATTGCGAACTGCGGAAAATTGTGGACTCTCAAAACTGATTGAGTTTCAAAAGTTCAAATGATGACGGGATTACGCGGAATATATCCCATAAATCCCAGTAATGCAGCTTAAGCCAGTAGGTTCGAGATGTGAAACAAAGTATAAAGCTAAAAATCTTTCATTCCAGCGCCGCAGGCAAAAATTTTGAGATATTCGGAAGGCTAATGACCAAATTTGTTCCTTTTTCAGCGCCGCAGGCGAAAATTTTTCGAATTATGGAAGGCCAAGGCCCAGATTTCTCCCATTTTTGTCCATAAATCTGGTAAAAATATTATCGAGTCTCGTTCGAGTCGGGCCGACTTTTTCCGAGACAATTTTTTTCGGGCCTGTTTTTATCGAGTCAGGCCGGTACGAGTCACTTTCGGGCCTAACTTTAACGAGTCGGGCCGTTACGAGTCTTTTTCGGGCCCAAATTTATCGAGTCGGGCCGGTACGAGACTTTTTCGGGCCAAACATCGAGGCATGACTCGATCTTTCGGTCCGAGTCGGTCCATTTTGGCAACCCTAATAGTCATGGATACGGATAATATCTGGATATCCGGATTTTGCTACACGGATAGCAAAACCGTGTCCATGTCCTAGTCTAGTATTAACCTCTACTTAAACTGAGAATAATTTAAAAATATGCACATATTAATTAAGGACTTAATGACTGGTTAACAATCGAGATTAATATAAATTAAATTTGGTTTTAGATTTTTAAACGAGTGATTTTATCACATATCATTCCAATTCATAATTTTAATTAAATAAATAAACCTTTAACAAGTATTTTTTCCTTTTAATTTTTATTTAGAGCCCATCCAGAATGGATATTCCCCAAAGGTTCATTACCCTCAAATTCATTCACAGACGATGATGATAGTGACGAATTTCCCCAAATTGTAAATTTTAAATTGCCCCCAGTTCCACATCCCTACAAAATTGAGAGAAATCCTTTAATTGGAGGTTTGTTCTTTTAAAGAAAAAAATATTTAAAAATTTCAATTTTAGTCCCCGAAGAATTAAAAAAAGTAATTAAAGTCACAGAAAATATTCAAAACCCAAACAGCATTCAACAAACAATAATGGTTTTTAAAATTAATATTTAAATTAATTAAAAAATAAAAATAGGGAATATGTGCACAAACTGGGGATTGTATGACACAAAAACCTGAAGCAATTAATCAAAGAGCTAATATTGCAGAACAAGAAGTTTCGATTGCAAGAGGATTGGAGTTGGAAAAAATTAATTTTTAAAAAGTCTTCTAAAAATTATTAATTTTTAAGTCCTCATAAACCTTTGGAAGAAATTGATTTTGAAGTAGAATTACGGTTATCTCGTTCATTTCAAGTAAAAGAAGGATTGGTGAAGCTTGGTGGACTTGATAAATTTGTAGAAATTAAAATAAAAAATAAAATAATTTCAATATTTAGTTGACCTCTTCAAATAATGGAGTATATCAAGAGGATATTTTACTTTCTGAACATCAATCAAATGCTATGATATTTCAAATAGAAAATCAAATACAGGTAGGAAATCAACCGAAGGAGGCTGGTAATTCATTATATCCACGAGAGCGCTCAGGTCTCGTTACCGACAGAATAATATGTACATTCATATTTCCACTAATCTGCATTTGCACTTGCCGATATTATCTTTTGGGACCTTACCATAGTATGCAAACTATTAGGTCAAACAACATCAATTCCAATCGGCTTAATAATTTTTTGTAGACAGAATATTGGTAGTCTAGGAAAAAAGATCCCGTCCCACTACTAGACTAGTTAATAAGCAAAAAATTAAGCGGCTGACAACAAATTTATAAGGAGAGTTTCAAACCCGTCCAATCCTTTAATATTTTCTGAAACACTTTACTGTAAACATTTAAAATATCAGGAGGCAGCATCACATCGTCACAAAAGAGCTGGAAATTCTGTATTTTTCGAAGGAGTGCCAGCATTACGTTGGCCTAGAGATGAGCCGATAAAATATACTTTTCACCCAACAATTACTTGTATTTTTATTTAGACGAAATTTTTAAATGTTTTTCTCTCTAGTGGAAGTTGATAAAGAAACAATTCGTTCAGCAATAAATGAAATTCAATCAAAAGTTCCCTGTTTGAGTTTTGAAGAGATTGAATATACTCAAGCATTGGACTCGAGAATAATTTATATAAAGGCGGGAGTTGCTGGAACGTAATTAATTTTAAAATAATCTTTTTTAATCAAAGCAGTCAATCAAAATCAAATCAAAATTGCGGCTTTTTAATAATTTGAGATACAAGTCATGTTTTTAATTCATTAACATGAGTAAAATTCTTTCATTTATTATTAAGACTAGGATTTGTCGAAATTTGAGATTAATATCTCGAAATGGAAATCATTAAATGAGATTTAGTCTAGTTCTAATCTCTACTTAATAAGAATTTAAAAATTAAAAAAAATCTTAAAAATTTCCAAGTTGTGGCCAAGGATCTGTTGGCCGTCAAGATCCTGTCAATGCAGTCTACCTAACTTTTTCCTGTTCAAATTCAGTAGGAGTTGCTATACACGAAACACTTCATGCTCTTGGACTACAACACGAACAAATGAGGATTGGTAATTGAAATATACAAATAAATAAATAAATAAATTTTAAAGATCGTGATCGTTATATTAATATAGACTATAATAATTTGGATCCAAAAAATTATGCAGAATTTGCTATTGTCGACAAAACTAAATATACGAGTTATGGTAAACAAGTATTTAATTTAAACATTAAAAAACAAAAATAAATATCCAAAATAAAAATAATTTATTTAAAAAAATATTTTTTATGAATTAAATACGACTATGCCTCAATTATGCATTATTCAAGTACTTCTGGAACACGAAATTTTCAGAGGAAAACAATGACAGCTAAGGTGTGTTTTTCAATTATTTTTAAAATTTAATTTAAATAAAAACAGATAAATCCAGCAAGAAATGATCCTTTAATGGGACAGAGAAATGGACTTACTGCTTCGGATATTGCTGAACTACACCGAATGTATTGTGCTCCTGGTGAGAATTTATATAAAAATATTTTTTTTAATATCAGCAATCCCTCCTAGGTACTATTCTCTATTATTTTCCAGATTAGGGTTGGTAGATCCTGAGAAAAATCTGAACATTTTTCGGATCTGAATATCCGAAACTGCCAATATCATTTCAGATTATTTATTTAATATTCCAAAAATAGCAAAAAGAATATAAACATTAAACTCGAAATTTTTAGAAAAGGATGGATTTACTTAGATATTTCTGAATATAAAAAAGTTATTGCAACATAAAACCAAATAAATTATTCTCCGAAAATTAAATTAATTTTTAGTGAAAGAATATTAAAAAATAAATTTTTTATTAAAAATATTTTTTTTATATTAAAAAGAATCCTGTGCTGACTCGAATGTTTATTGTGGTGCCTGGGCTGTCCAGAATTTATGTACAGGTTGGAATCAAGGAGCTCGAAATTGGATGACAGAGAATTGTCCAAAATCGTGTGGATTATGTACAGAATGATATTTAAAAAATACTTTTTTTAATTTTAAAAAAACTATTTATTTATGTAGAAAATAAATGAGAAAATACAAAATTAAATAATTATCTCAATTAAATTTTAGATAAATTTAAACAAATTTATTTTTATTTTAAATAAATTTTTATTTAAAGTAGGGCCTTCAAAATTTCAAAACTTTTTTTAATTTATTTTGTTTATGCTTTTCCTTTTGCCGACGATATTTCCGGGCCTCCTAAACATTAAAAATCTTTAAACAAGATAGACATTCACGTGTTAACTATCACGCTATAATTTTAAAGTAAATTTTCAATTGATTATTTTTGATCGACTAATTTCCAACAAGTCAATATTTAGAGAGATTTTTATTTAAATTTATTTAAGAGAGAATATTAGAGATAGAAAGAAAAAAATAGAAAAAAAATTTGTCTAGATTTCTACAACTAAATTCAAATTTCGTTTCAGAGGATCTTAATTAAATATAGTGTCTTTACCGAAAATAAAACTATTTTCTAACGAAAAAATTTCTATATTAAAAATAAAGTTTTTTTATTTAACCATTAAAAGTTTATTTTCCCTCAAATATCAACAACATCCTCTCCAAACTTCAAATTTTATAAAACTTTCTGTTTTAGAGAATATTTTTAAATAAAACAAACATTTATCTATAGTCAATGCCAAATTTTGAAATTTTCAGCGGCGCATTGCAGGGGAGGGAGGGGGGGATAGGGTAAGGGAGGGAAGGAAGGGAGGGGAGGGGAAAAGCAGGGATGGATGAAGCAGTTGCTTAATTAATAATTCATTTCATTTAGTAAAAAAATCTATCTACAATATAACTAACCCTCCTCCCAATAAAATGAATTTTTATTTTTAATTGAAGCGAAATAAAATAAAATATCAGAGCTAAAACTTAAAATTAAAATATATTATAACGAAATTGTTTAATTAAAGTTTCTTAACTCAATTAAAAAGGAGGAAATATAGCTAAGAAAATCCCTTTTCTCTAAATTGAGAGAAAAATACTCAAATTTAATTTACTTAAAAATCAAAATTTTATTTATTAAGAGCTTTAAAATAAATATATTGCTTGACTTTTTTCATCCCCAAATTTTGGAGCTGTCCTGTTGTTAGTGGTGTCGCGATAGGTAAAAGCCCGTGAAGCGTCAGTCTAGCGGGGCTAGTACTGGTTCCCGTTGTTCTACATGGGATAAACTGTTATTTTTGTGCACGTCAACAACGGACAACCCTCGCACATAACATGCCCAAAGATGCCAAAACCCAGGCAATTTATCCAATCTGTGGGTGACAACAGATTGGAAATCTCTATCACTTAAAATAATTTATTTAATTTGATAAAAGAATATTTAAATATTCTACATAAATTAAACTATTTAATCATGGAATTTTCGGAAAAAATTTTTGAATGAAAGGAAAAAACTTTTTTTCAAAAAATGGGAAATTCTTTAAAATATTTAATAATTTTTAAAATAATTATTTAATAATTTTTAAAAAGAAACATTTAATTTTTCAAAATGAAACAAAATTATTATTTTATTTTCTTTTGTTTTCTTCAACATTTTATTTTAAATGTTAATTGTTTGGAAAACCATTTTTTTGTGAAAGTTTTACCAATTGGATTTAAGTGGAAGATTGATGTTGAATGTCCCAAATGTGCTGAAATTGAACAAGAAGTAATTAATTAATTAATTTTATAAAAATTATTTGAAAGAGGGATTTAATACAAAAAAATAATTAAAATTTAATTTTTAGAAATTACCAGAAAATATTACAATGTTTACATTATCTCATAATGGAAACAACATAAAAAAATTAAAAATAAAAATAACTTCGGTAGAAGACGAAGAGGTTAAAAATAATTTTTTCTAATAATTTTAATATTTAAATTTTTTAATTAAAAAAATTTAAACATTTTTAAAGGATAAGGAATGGAATATTAAAAATATTAATTTTGATAAATTATATGAATTCGATTTTTTTGGCGGTAAATTTAGCAATGAACAAGATATACCACAACATTTTGATATTAACCGGTAATTTATTCTCTAATATATTTTTTCTTTCAAAATTTAAAATATTCAAAATAAATTTATTTTAAAGTTCTTCATTTGGTTATTCCGAAGATGATCCATTCATTAAAGATTTGACTGAAAAACTTAGGGAGGAAAATAGAAGATTAAAAGAAAAAGCTGCTAATAGAGGAAGTTCAAGTTCTTCTTATGGAAATAATACTGACGATAACAATGATAATTTAAAATTTGAAAATCTTTCGATAACACCAAACAAAGTCCCAAAACCCAAAAGAAAAGGAAATAAAAACTCTAAAATTGGAAATGTTAGCCCAAGTTCTCAAGGAAGTTCTAACGACAATGAAAGTAGCTATTTAAATTATTTAATTTAAATATAATTTAAATTAAGGCAATTTTGGAGTCCCTCATGTTCACCCAACTTTTGGACATGGATATAGTTATCCAGATCATTTAACTTCTCCTCATCATCATTATGGCGATGCTGCACATCAATTACCCTATCAATTACCCCACATCAATTACCCTCATAATCATGGATGGCAGCATCCATACCCTTATAATTCTTCTGGTTTTCCTCCAAATTTTGTTCCAATCCAACCACAACCAAATGAAATTACACATTTTGCAGACACAAATACAGATACCTATTCTGGTAATTTTAAATATTCAAATTATAGATAAAAGGCCAAGTTTATTTTAAAAATTCGAATTATGTATTTAAAAAAAAAACAGTGAAAATAGACCTTAATCCTTAATAAAATATGTTCCCACTAGTTGTTAATATTAATGTTAATTTGACTTTATAATTAAAAACTTGAGGTTTTATAATGGAGGTACTAATTTAAAATTTACTTATTTTAGGGAGTGATGGGCCGCCAGTATCCTCGGTAACTCCAGACTTCAATAATCCAAATGAAAGTGAATATTCAAATGATGACCAGAATTGTACTATCTGTTGATTATATTTAGATGTTGATGAGAATTAAAACAACAAAAAAAACTTTTGAATTTTTTTGGGTAGCTTAAAAAACTCCAAAATTTGGTTATGGGAAAGTTTTCAACAAAAATATGTAGTATTGTCCCACAAATTTTATTTTTAAAATAGAAAAAAACAGGTAAAAAGATATACCGTAAATGCTCTACTAAATACCCTTCTCAAATAATCACACTCACTCTATTAATTGCTCCCTTCAGCGAGAAGATGAACTATAATTACCCAGGGTAATTATTAGAGTATTTACAGTATGTCATATGTATTTTTAGTGTCAATCTACAAAAATACTTTTTCTTTATTTTATTAAATTTACCTTATTTTCTCGATTAATTCCCCTCCCTCGAATAATTCCCCCTCTCTATTCCTCATGCTAGAGTTGGGTTGAAACAAAAATTCCCCACCCCCAAATACACAACTGCACGTTCAAATGCCAAAACTCGAATAATTCCCCTCCTTCGATTAATTCCCCATGCCAAGGAAGGGTTAAAAAATAATTCCAGGGGAATTAATCAAGAAAATACAGTATATATACATTTTTTAAATTAGTCAATTCACTCTATTTTAAATTAATTTATTTTTCACAATTTTTTTGTTAAATTTTTTTATTTTTCACTTCATCTGTCCTATTAATTTTAAAATATTTTCTTTTTATTTTTTTTTTGGATTAAATATTTCTTTAAAAATGTTTTAAGCTGATTTTTCTCAACAAAGTAATTCAAAAAAACTGTATTTTGTTATTACATTTTTGAAGTATGTATTATTTATTTTATTTTATCATTTAATTTTCTTTTCATTTTATAAAGATTTTTCTTGGGAATTTTTAAAGTTTTATTTAGCAGAGAACGGTCAAAAATCAGAAACATTTATACACAAATATCGGGATGGTTCATCGGGAAATATCGGGAATATAAGAGGAGACTTTTTCGACTTAAAACCTGAGGCGAGAATTATTTGAAACCCTGGCCCGAAATCCGTTATTTTTGTTAAAGAAAGAAATCTGGCTTCTTGGTCCTCCAAAATCTTAAAACTTTTGCTTGCGGTGCTGAAAAGGAAGAAAGCTGTGTTAAAACTTAAAGCTATATTTATGGATCTGGTGTATTATCAAAGGATCAAGAGTGGTTGAGGGGGGTTAGGGGGGGGGGGTTAGGGGGTATCGGTAGAAAAATACAAAAATGCAAACATTAGAAACTTGAGAAAAATGACTTTTTGAGCCAGTCCAAGAAAGCAAGGAAGAAGGAAATATGTATAAGTAAGGAAAAAGTAAGGAAAAATATCAACCCGTCACGATTTGCATATAGAGAACAAAATTATAATATATTATACCTATAATTGTTTTTCTAGCTTTTTTTAAACAATTTGCCAAAAATTTTTTTACTTCGACGGTCTTTAAAATTTCAAAAGCATGTTTGTCTATTTAGTTATTTGTCATGACTTTCCTTCTCCCGACATAAGTCTTTAAACGAAATAGACATTCACTTAAAGCATTAGCTAGTCTGCTATAATTTTATTTTAAAAATTTTTCCATTGATTGGTTTTTGATCGTCAAAATTTTCCAGCATGTCAATATTATGTAGAGATTTTTATTTAAATTTATTTTAAAGAGAATATTAGAGATTGAAAGAAAAAGATAGTAGAAAATAAAACTTTAATTAAATACAGTAAATGCTCTATTAATTACCCCCTCTCAAATAATTACCCCCTCCAGTGAGAGATTGAAACAAAAATTACCCAGAGTAATTATTTAAGCATGTAAGGTAATTTATTCGTGAATGCAGTCTACTTTGTCTACACCTAAACTTGTTTTAGAGAGTTTTAACAAAGTATAAATACAATTGTTTTTGTTTGAAATCAAAAAATTTTATCATAAGTTTATTTTCCCTCAATTACCAGCAGAAAAATTATTTTTAAATAAATTTTTAAACATTTATAGTCAATGCCAGATTTTAAAATTCTTGCCAATGCGCAGAGAGAGGTGAATTCAAAATTAGAGATCGAAAAGGGGTCCGGGACCCGGACCCGTTTCCCGGTTTTCGGTTCCCCTTTCCCGGTTTTTTGAAGCAACCGCCCGGTCCGGGTCCCTCCCGGACAACATTCAGAACCCGTTTCCCGGTTCCCGGACCCGGTTTTTTCAAAATTACGATTTCTATTCAAAATTTAAATAAATACTATTTTCACAAATTAAAATTTTATTTTATGTAATTTTAAATAAAAAATATGTATTTTATTTTTATTTTAAATAAATTTTTATTTAAAGTAGGGCTTTCAAAATTTCAAAAGTTTATTTTATTTATTTTGTTTATGCCTTTCCTTTTACCGACAATATTTCCGGGCCTCTTAAACATTAAAAATCTTTAAACAAAATAGACATTCACGTGTTAACTATCACGCTATAATTTTAAAGTAAATTTTCAATTGATTATTTTTGATCGACTAATTTCCAACAAGTCAATATTTAGAGAGATTTTTATTTAAATTTATTTAAGAGAGAATATTAGAGATAGAAAGAAAAAAATAAAAAATTAAATTTATTTGAATATGACTAGATTTCTACATACAACTAAATTCAAATTTTGTTTCAGAGGATCTTAATTAAATATACTGTCTTTACCGAAAATAAATAATATTTTTTTAAAAAAACATTTCTATGTTTAAAAACAATAAAAGTTTATTTTCCCTCAAATATCAACAACATCCTCTCCAAACTTCGAATATTATAAAACTTTTTGTTTTAGAGAATATTTTTAAACAAAAACAAACATTTATGTATAGTCAATGCCAAATTTTGAAATTTTCAGTGGCGCATAGCAGAGGGAGAGGGAGGAGAGCAGAGGGGATAGGGGGGGGGATAGGGAGGGGGGGATAGGGAGGGGGTGGATAGGGAGGGGGGGATAGGGAGGGGGGGGATAGGGAGGGGGTGGATAGGGAGGGGGGGATAGGGAGGGAAGGAAGGGATAGGGAGGGAGGAAGGGAGGGAAGGAACGAAGGAGGGAAAGCAATTGCCTCATTATAATAATTCTCTCCATTACAAAATCCATCTATGTATAATCAACACTCCTCTCAATAAAATGAATTTTTATTTTTAAATTGAAGCGAAATAAAATATAATGCTAAATTAAAACTTAAAATTTAAATATATAATAACAAAATTGTTTAATTAAGGTTTCTTAACTCAATTAAAAAGGAGGAAATATAGCTAATTCATTTTCTCTAAATTGAGAGAAGAATACTCAAATTTAATTTACTTAAAATTTCATTTGTTCAAAGCTTTAAAATAAACATACTATTTAGGACCCTTCACTCTCTCCCTCTCTCCTTTCCAATAAAATAAATTTAAAATAAAATAAAAATTAAAAAAATAAGAGAGATAGCAAAATCTCTGAAGAGGCCAAGAATGTCTCCAAACTATTTGAATGTATACATTAAGACCAAGAATAGCAAAGGTTCTGTCTACGTCTAGGAGCAGAACTAGCTCGTACTTTCAAATATTTGGTATTTGAAGAAATATCCTTTTTTCTTTCAGTTTCATAAGTAAGCGGTACGGGGCAAAATTAGGGGTGGTATACGGTTAAAAAGAAATTATAAATTTCCATTCAACCTAATAAATATCTGATATTTATTTTTACAAAGATGAAATTTTCGATTACTTTTTTATTCTTTATTATTAACAATTTTATTTTAAAATTGAATGCATTAAAAAGTGATTTCCATGTGGAGGTGGTACCAAAAGAATATTCTTGGAATATTCAGATATTTTGTCAAGAATGTTTAAGTTTGGAATACAATGACGTAATTTTTCTTAAGATTTTATAAAAATTATATTCACTTTTTATTTTTATGAAATTAACGCAATAACTGCTCAACTTAAAATGTCTAAAAGATTGACCTAATAATCCCTGTAGCGAATGTTGAAACAATAATTATCCCCTTAAAACTAGTCATAATTAGCTTGCCTAAAATAAACTCTAATAATTACCCTACCTCTATTAGTTACCCAGGGTAATTGATAGAATATATACGATAAATGCATCAAATAAAAACTTAATTTTAAGGTATTACCTGAAGATTACGTCGGTACAACATTCACTCTTGAACATGAAGAAAGTATTAGTGGGTTACATGTAGTAATTGAGTCAACAAAAAAAATTCTTGGTCATATAAGGGTAAATATATATTAAATTTGAATTTTATACAAAAAAATTTAACTGTTTGATTAAAAAATCATAAAGAATTTTCTTTTTTAATATCAAAATTATAATTAAAAATTAGCAAAATTTTCATAATTTGAAAAGTTTCAGAAAAGCATTTATAAAAATAAATATTTATATTTATTCTCTAAATATTTGTTACTAAAAATTAAAATTTTTAGTAAAATATTTAAATAATTGACCTAAATAAAATTCATAAAATTATTTAAGACTCAAGAATGGACTCTTACTCCTCAACAAAATAATGAAAAGTTAAATGTTTTTAATTTTTTAAAATCACATCAATTTAATTTTGGTTATTTTGAACCAAATGAACAATTTGGATATTTTTTAAAAATTAAGGTATATATTAATAAAAATATTTTTTAAACCTTATCATTCATTGTCGTAAAATGACACCTTTTTAACACATTAAAAATTTAATCGGTACAGCTGAATGGAAAATTACTCTGAAAAATAAAAATTGGGTTACCCCATAGAAAATTTACATAATGAGATTTCAAGCTTTAAAAAATACAGGCTATAAATTATCCAAAAATTTTAATACAAATCCTGTTCTCCGGTTATAATAAAATAACATAAGTATCTAAAGGTCAGCCCCCGTGAATCACTTTAGAGAATTCATAAAAAATCTGTTAATATGAAAACTTAATTTTAAAAATTATTAGACTTTTGAACAAAATCCAATAATGATGCCTAAAAATTATTTTGCGTATGTTGAAGGATTTACGGGTGAAATTAATTTAAATACTCAGCATGTAAATGGGGAAGTATTTGACATTTATTTGCCTGCAGAAGGAATACAAAATTATTTTACCAATAATAAAACACCAGAGCTAAATGTCTGTGTGTATATGGTAATAGATTTTGAATTAATACTTTTAAATAAATTGGGGATATTTCTGGGGGATTTTAGTTAATAATAATGATGAAATAAACTTTGAATATTAATAAATAAAATGTTTAAAAATTTAGAAAACTTTTTGCCGTTCTTGTGGAGAAGATGAGGCAATCTACATAGTTCGGGTATTCCTTTTAAAAAAATTTAAAAAAATCTATATTTAATTAAGGGAAATTATTTGTGTTCGGAATGTGTAAAAAAAAGAAAATATAAAAAGTTTAGTAAGGAACAATTAGCTGGGATGTGCCATACAATTAAAAATCCAATTTTACAAGTAAATATAAAAATAATTAAAAACTATTTAAATATATCTTTTTAGAATGGCGAAAATCCTCAATTTGTGTACAACTTTGATTTAAACGACGAAAATAACGAAAATTTGAATTATGCAGAACTTGTAGAATTTGAAGGAGAGCCTTCAAAGTAAATTATAATTAATTATTTATTTTATTCTTTCTTGTTTTTTTTTTAAATTTTTACAATAATTAAAATTAATTTGAATATTTTAAGTAATCAAACACGAGAAGAAAAACTTGCGAAAATTATAAAAAGAATTAAGCTTGATGAAGAATTAAAAAAACAGAGAAAAAATGAAGAGATTGCTAGTACAAGTTCTCAGGGAGGGAATCGCGGACAAGCAATTGAACATCCCAAAAGTTTTTTTTCAATTAGCTTCAAGAATAATTTAAATAATTAAAAGGCAATTACGGAGGAGAAGTGTCTAATCACCCGACATATGATCCTCATGGAGTTGGTTATCCACATTATGGACAAGGTTATACAGACAATGTATACCCTCCTCATAATTATTATGGAGGTACAATGCAACCACAGGGCATGCTTCCTGTACATCCAGGTAAATTATTATTATTCGAATTGAAAGGCGAAAGGCCAAATCAATTTTAACAAATTTGGAGAAAACAATAAAATTGTCAACTCTCAGAACAACAAAATATATTTATTAGTAATCATTGTAGTCCTTAGTAAAATATTTTGTAGTTGTTAATATTACTATTATTTATTAATTTTAGGAAGTGATGGGCCGATAGAATCATGGACAGACCCAAACTTCAATCAACATGAAGCTGATTATTCAAATCAAGAAGATGAAAGCAGTTGTACTATATGTTGATTATATAGAAGTAGATGGGAATTAAAACTAAAAATTTAAATTTTTTTGGGTAGGTAAAAAGCTCTAAAATTCTAGTCGAAAGAAAGGTTTCAACAAAAAATTTTATTTTAAAGGTACCCTATTTTCTTGATTAATTCACCTCTCGATTAATTCCCCAAGCCAAGGAAGGGTTGAAAAAATAATTAATTAATCGAGAAAATACGGTAGATCCAGTTATCAGTCTCACAGTTAATCAATTCTTTTAAAGTATTGGACAAAAAGATACATAGAGAAAAAAGTCTTTTGTCGTGTAAAATTAACACAACTTTTTTTTAATTTTAGTTTGGGCTGGATATTAAAAATTATTAATCCGGCAAATTTTGTAATTTTTAAATAGGGAATTAAAGGGAGTATTTAAAAACGAACAAAAAATCTTTTTTAAAATCAATTTTTAACTGAAAAAAGTATTAAGTAATTTTAATTTCTCCTACTATGTCCCTGTCTTTTTGTCCATTACTTTTTTTAAATTAATTTATTTTTTACTTTTTTTGTTAATTTTTTAGTTTCATTTATCTTTAATATTTATTTTAAAATATATTTATTTTTAGGGTTAAATATCTCCCACCAAAATATTTTTAAAAAGTTTTTCTCTTAAAGAGAACACAAAGCGTAATTAACTTTATTTTTTAAAGTGAAAATTTTTTTTGGAATTTACACAATTATTTTATTAATTTTAAGTACAATGTACTATTGTTATTTCTTTATTTTATAAAGTTTTTTTTGGGGATTCGAAAATTTTTATTAAAAATATTAATTATTTGTACACAAATATCGAAATATTTTGTATGGTCAAATGAAAATTAATTTTCAAAATAAATATTTATTTATAAGTTTTTTTCCTAAAAGTAAGCTGGGCTATAGCTACATATTTCTCTCCTTTAGCTAAATAAAAAGGTTAATCGGCGATTGGGAGCGAACTAGAATCTTCAGTAGACCGGACTGATTGTTGTTATCCATTACACCACACACCTACTGCACAACCTTAGGAATTAAATATCAGGGGTGTGCCGAAACGGATTTTAAAAAGCGAAACGCGAAAGGCGAAATTAAATTTAAAAAGTGAAACGCGAAATGCGAAACGCGAAAGTAAATTTAAAAAAGCGACACGCGAAACGCGAAAGTCCAAAAAACGCGAAAATCCGCGAAAGGCGAAACGCGAAACTCGCACACCCCTGTTAAATAGCTATATGCTTTACATAAATAATCTAAAAATAATTTAAATGAATCCCAGAGGTTTTTATTTTTAATAAAGTATATACATATTTATTTTAAACAATTTTACATTTCGACCCCATCATCACAAAAAATAATTGCTATACATAATATTTATTAAAAAAATATATTTAAATAAAAAATATTTTTTTATTTATTTTTAAAAAATAAATACAAAAATTATCACGCGCAAATATATTTATTTTTTCTATAAATTTATCGTCAATTGTCAACGAGTCCATGAATTACTTTTTATTTTTTTTTGTAGATTGGATTACTCTTTTTACTACTTTTTTTTATTTTCTTTATTTTTTTCTTAGTTCCATAACAGCTGTAAACAACCGGATTTTTTTATTTCATTTTACCCTCACTTTTTGTTGCATTTCTTTTATTTTTTATTTTCTTTTTTTAAAAAAAGATTCATTTTTTTCTATTTTAACGAAAATTATTTTGTTATGATATTAATGGCATAAAATTTGTAAAACCCAAAGAAAAATTCCATTCTTGAATTTTAATGCTTTAGGATCTAGATATTTACTCTAAAACAGTAAATATTTTAAAAATAGAAACGTCGAATTGAGATTAAATTTTGTTCCTTTCAACTCCAATCCTTGGCCACAACTATTTGGGCAATCCCGGCCCGACTTGTCTCTCCCGATTCAGTTATTTGAGCGCATTAAAATTATACATATTTTCTTCATGATAAATGGACTCTCTCAATTTCATCTTCCTTTTCTCTCCATAACTTTCCCTTTTACGTCGACAAAATCCGTCTATTATAGAGGCTGTCCCAATAATTATCCTTTTATGTAAATTAAAGAAATTTAAAATTTTTTCAAAATACTAAAAGATGTATAATTAATATCTTGAGTAATAATGTATCCTTTGTAAATTGCCGACCTTTTTAAACCCAAAAAAACCTTTTAAATATTTTAAAAGTCAACATTTCTATCAAGGATGGGCGAAATCAAAAAATAAAAAGCGAAATGCGAAATGCGAAACTTTTTTTTAAAAAATAAAATGCGAAATGCGGAATGCGAAACTTTTCGCGCCAAAAAATGCGAAAAATGCGAAAGATGCGAAATGCGAAAATGCGAAATTGGTTTAAAATTCTAGAAATATTTTGGATAGTATACTGGAGGGAAAGTTTCGATAAGAAACAACTACTATTCGATGTCTCGGCGAGCTGAGTCGATAGAAGTGTTAGACCGAAAATTCTTGGATGGATTAAAGAGGATATCATGGGATTTGGGAGGATAACTGAGGATTTAGGGGAGGGATCTGGAAAACATCTTCCTTTTTCAGCGCCGCTGGCAAAAATTATGAGAATTTTGGATCCTTTATAGCTAAATACACATCCTTTGAGGCCGGAAGCAAAAACAGATCATTACAAGCAAACAGGAACCAAAAAATCGCGGGCGCAGCATTCATTCTGCGCAGCATTCATTACTAAAAAATTCATTACTTTATTACTAATTAAAATTTTTAATGTTTTTCAAATTTAAAATATTAAAAAAACAAATTTACAGATTTAAAATCAAAGTTTAAAAACATTAAATTTTGGAAAGGAAAATATATATTTCCCACGTCTGGATTCGAACCCAGCCCCAAAAAACACAAAAGTAAGTAAAGTCAGTCAACTTAACCACTCAACCATCGCCAACTAAATGAATTTTAGGATAAATATCTATATTTCTTTCCTTCTTCCTTTAAAAAATTTAATGTAAAAATATCTAAAAAATAAAGAAATATAAATTAAAAAGGCGAAACAAATTTCGCATTTGGACCAAAAAGCGAAATGCGGAATGCGAAACTTTTCGCGCCAAAAAATGCGAAAAATGCGAAAGATGCGAAATGCGAAATCGCCCATCCCTGATTTCTATTCTAAATAGCCAATTCTTTAAATTCTGCATATTCTTTGTCCATAACTAAAAAGCAACAATTCCCCAAAGGTTTTTGTTTTTATTTTATTTTATTCTCGTTTCATTTTAAAGCTTTATTTTGGTGTAGATAACCATTTAATAATATTTTATATTTATTTATTAACGAAATAAAATTAAATAAAATTTTAATAATTTTAAAAAATTCAAAAAATATTTTTTTAATATTATTTTAAATATTTTAACTTTGTTCCGCCCCACACAAACAAAAAAATATATTTTTTACTTTGTGCATATAAAACTCTTTAAACACAAAATTCTCCCATTTTTCATGCCAACCCTTTCATTCTCCTTTTTCTTTATTTTTGCCAAATTTCATGCCTAGTGGTCATATACTGGACAATAGACAAACCTCCAAACTAAAAATGTTGTTATTAGGAGGAGGGATTGGAGGTTTTGCTTCTTCCTTCCATTTCCCCTTTTGCAACATCTATGGACTTATTTCAATTTCGATTTTTATCTTTAATATTGAAAGTTAAATGTAAAAATAAAAAACAACTAAAATTTAATTTAATTCGAATTGAAATTAAGCCTTTAGTTTTTACCCGTCTTCATAAACAGGGAGGCCATTTTATCTGTGCCTTGCCCGTAATTACTATCCTTAACTTTAAATTTTAAATTTAAACGTTAAAAGAATTGTACTTAAAATTTATTATTATTTCTAAATTATTAAATTGAGTAGTAAATATCTTTTGAGATTAGATTTAGTAAATAAGTTCCATATAGGTATCATTCAGAAGCTTAATTTGTATCTAGTATGACAAAAAATCAATGGTATATAGCAACTTGGATAAAGTGAATCAAGTTAGATATGCCAAACCAAAACTAGCTAAAAAAAATTTTTAGAAGAATCCATTAATTATATAGAAATATTTTGTCTGAAATTTTTATCCTTTTTAGTATGTAGATTCTAAAAATTTTATCGAAAATTTTATTTTTTATTTTTCGATAAAAATTTGGTAATATGTATTTATTTAAAATGAAAATATTTTTTCTTAAAATTTATTTAAAATTTTTATTTTTGTCACCAAAATTTATTTACCACCCATTTATTTATTTATTTATTTATTTTTCTTTTTCCGTTCAAATATAAAAACAGATGTCTGGTGTTAAAGCTATTCTATAATTTAGCTTTAAATATAGAGAATTGTGTGTGTATATTTCTGCGCATTTTATATATATTTTTATTTACGCTTTTTGCAATTAAAAATGTACTATTTATTTATTTCTAGGTCAGTGAGGACAAATAAACAAAAATTAAATAAATAAATATGTAAATTATTTTAGGAATTGAATTAATCTTTAATTTTAAATTAGAATTAAAATTAAAGAAAAATTAAAAAAAATTAGTAAAAAATATTAACCCTACTAATTAATCCAACTTTTTAATTAATTTGAAAAACAAAAAGTAATAATTTTAATTATGTTTTGAACTGAAGAGACCAAATATTTTCGCCCAAAAATTCCTTCTTGAATAATTTTTAATTATTCTAGGAAGTTTGCATTTATTTTGATATTAAAATCAAAATTAATACTTTCCCCTGTATTCTAAAAACAAGGTTTTTCTTAGCCATTGTAGTTTAAATTAGCATTTAAATATTATTAAACCCCAATTTTGGTACTTTGTTTCTTTTGACGATTTATCTGGATTCATACTGAAAATTAATTTAAACAAAAACAAAGTTATGTAGTAGTCTATTGCTGTTTTGAGCCTTATTTACAGAATAATTCTCCTGAATATTGTTGAGTAATCTCCTCTCTTTTCCCTTTAAATTTAACAAAAAATGCCTTATTTTAATTAATTTTAGATTTAATTAACATTTAATAAATGGCTTTTAATTTTTTATTTTCTTCCTGTACTTTTTGTCAAACCCCCCACCTTCTACTAGCTGCTTGTTTAATTGCTTCTGTAACAAAAGGTTTTCGATGGCATTTACATGCACGAGTATTATTTCACTTGATTTCTGGTTTGATTCTTTTATTTATGCCACAATTACTACATGGACCTATGGTAAATAAATACTAAATTGAGAAAGAAAAGAGAACAAAATTATTTAAAAATTTAAAGTTGAATATAAAAATTTTAAAAATCCTATTTAAACTAACCGATAAAGTTGCCGGATAGTTTGAAATCCTCGGATATCCGGATACGACAACCTTACTAACCTAACCATTAATTCCTGGTTACTTTTTTATTTTTATAAAAAAAGGTAACCTCCAAAAATCTAGTCCAGAGAAGCTATTCTTTTTATGGGGTAATTAAGTCACTACAAGAACTTAGTATTATTGAGGATAATTTTTAAGAATATTCTACAAAACTATCAGAAATTTCACGAGTTTATTAAGCATTGTAAAAAAGATTAGAAAGATTTAACCTCCTAAAGCCGCAAACTTATCTGAACGAGTTTGATAGTCAAAGCTTTCCCAGGATAAGAAGAAATATCAAAAAAAATCTTTCTTACTATGCAAACTTTCTGATAAATTAAAAAATAATTTTAAATAAAAAATAATTTAATTAAAAAAAGATTGCTGGTGGCTCTTTTGATAATTTACATTTAACATTACAACGCTACACTGCTCCCTTTCATGTTAAATTTTATTTTAAAATTTTTTAATTTTTTTGAAAAAAATTTTTAGCTTGGTTTTGCACTCTTTCATTATAAAAATTCTTTTAATTCTCATAATGCTATAAGTGCTATAAATCCCGTTATTTTGGTAATTTTTTGAATATTTTTGTTAAAAATAATTTTTTAAATGAATAATAATTTATACATACAGTAGTCGACAAAAAGATAGGGACAAACACAAGTGTAATGGAAATCACCTATTTTCTCGGTTAAACATCAATTTTAGGAAAACTTTTTTATTTGATTAAATACTCCATTTAATTCTCTATTTAATAAGTAGAAAATTTGCCTGGTTAAAATTTTATAAAATCCAAACATTATTAAAAAACAAAAGCTATGCTATTTTAAGCGCGACAAAAAGATAGGGACAAGTCTTGTAACAAAGTTTTCATAAAAGCAAAAAATCTACAAAAATTTATGGAAGCATATTGATCGATACTAAGAAGAAATAAAAAAGAACTAGGTCCATATCTCATTTCAATATCGAGATCTCGGAACCCTAAAAACAGGGGTAAAACACGGGTAGGACTATTTAAAAAATATTTTCGACCCCTTATGGATTTTTTAAAATTTTTATTTTGAGCCCATTCGATAGCCCTTGAAATTTGCTATAAACCAGCCAAATTTCATTCTTCAAAAAAATTTCACTCCCGAGATAAAGGACGACGATTCACCAAAATGCCGTTTAAGAAGCAATTTATGGGGCGTTTGCTGTTTTTTGTGACGTTAGCCTCTACAGCTAACGAAATATTTTTTTCTCAAAAATGAAATTTGGCTAGTTTATAGCAAATTTCAAGGGCTATCGAATGGGCTTAAAATAAAAATTTTAGAAAATCCATAAGAGGTCGAAAATATTTTTTGAAGTTGAAAACCCCTGTTTTACGTTGATTTTCGGGGTATTGAGATCTCGACAATAAAACGAGATATGGGCCTAGTTCTTTTTTATTTTATCTTAGTATCGATCAGTATGTTCGCACGAATTTTTATAAATTTTTTGGTTGAGTGAATAATTAGTTACAAGACTTGTCCCTATCTTTTTGTCGGGCTGAAATTTGCATAACTTTTTTAGTTAAATTATTTCAGTATTTCAAAAAATAATAATCCGGTAGATCTTATACTCATTAAATAGAGCATTAAATGGAGTATTTAATTAAACAAAAAATTTTTCCTGAAATCGATTTTTAGTTGAGATAATAGGCGATTTTCGTTTCACATGCGTTTGTCGCTATCTTTTTGTCGACTACTGTATTTAAACTCCCTCTTCTAAAATTATATTTAAATTATTAATTCAAAATAAAAATATTTTTAATTAATTTAAAAAATTCCTTTTTAGTTCTCGAAAGTTTTAGTCGCTGCTTTTTTACTTATTAATAAATTCCTCACTGCCTATTTATTGTATGAACAAAAAGCTAGAGGGCAACGTGTCTCACAAAATGTAAATTAAATTTTTAAAAAATTTCAGAAAAAATTTCAGTTAAAATTTAAAATTATTCCATAGTTACAAAAATTTATTTATATGACAAAAATATTAAATAAAATTTAAAAAATTTAGGAGGGGAATAAATATTTTTCATGAAAATTTGGCTCTTGTCCAGATTACGCGTCCAATCAACAATTACGCAAACTTTTTGCGTCCAAAGAAATTTTAATGGGCCTATATATAAGTATCCGGTTTTGCGTGACTATCACCCTGAGTTATACTACCGAACCATGTGTTCTAAAACACAAATTTGGGTACTTATTGCCTTAGATGGACAACATAAAAGTTGATTGGACGCGTAAAATTTGTTTAGACGCATAATCTCGATAATAGCCAAAAAATTATTAATTTTTAGTTTTTGTCTTGCTCTTTTCTCGTTGATGGGATTTGGCTTATTGTTGAATTTTATTTTTTAATTAATTCTTCAAAACGTTCAATTAGTGAAGAGATTGAGGTGTGTAAATAAAAAATAAAATCAGAATTATTTAAAAAAGATAATGTGTGCCCGTACTCGTTGTTGGATGGATTTTGGGTATCCAGGATTTGGCCCACAAAGAATATTTTTCTGGATTGATGCTACTATATTTTTCTTTTATTCATTCTTTCAATTTGCATTTTCTGGACTTTTATTGAATATAATTGTGAAATTTAAAAAAAAAGAATATTTTTAAAAATATTTAAAGATCCGCCGCGAAATATTAATTGCTGGATTACATGAAATGTATGCTAGGGAATTTGCTATTTATTGTTTAGGGATTGCTATATGCTCTCTAGCTGCTCCAGTTCAATTTGCCTTAACACAACAAAAACAATATGCTGAACAACGAATTTTGGTTGGAAAATTATTTAATTTTAAAAATAAAATTGTATATGTTGAAAAACGAAGGGTCTAACAAAGGAACATCGTTTACTGTCAGTGCGAATTTGATCATTTTTTTGGTACCATTCCAACTTTAAACGGCCATAACTGGGCCCAAAGTTAAAAAACGGATTACACCACGATAGTAAGTCTAGGGTCTTCTATCGAATGGTATAAAAAAGATTATCAAATTCGCACTGACAGTAAACGATGTTCCCTTTAAGAAGCTTAAAATTTAGAGTAAAATCTAAATAAAATGAAGTTCTTCAAACTTAAATAAATTACAAATTTAACACAAGAAAATTAAATCAGAAATCAAGGGTCCTGTAATCGGCAAATGGAACGCGGAAATAAAAGAGAAAATCCATCCCTACATAAAATCAATTAAATTAAATTTTTTTTGGCTTTAACCCCAAATTTCAGACCCAATTCTTCATATTTATTCTGAATATTTATACTTATTTTGGTCTCAACATTTATACTCCAATACACATAATCTCTTTAATTATTTCCTTCTTTCATTGCGCACTTCTTTTTATGATTTGGCAACGTTGTTGTGGGGAAGAAGCATTAGAAATAAAAGAAAATAGAGGAGGAAATAAAGAAATAATAAATAATATAAATAATAATAATTAAGGCTGTGATTTATAGGCAAATGCCTATTTTTTCTGCAAGCTTGGGATGATGTAATACGTTCAAAAAACGTGTTTTTAGCTTGGTCCGAAGCGTATAGCATGACTTTTAATTTGCCTATTTCTGCCTATTTCGGACTTTTTGAGCCTTTTTGCCTATTTTGTAATTTTCGGTACTATTTTTGCCTTTTTTAGCGATTTTTTGTAAATTTTGCCTAAAAATCAGTGAAAAATCTAAAAAAAATCAGTCCCTGATTAAAAAAATCAGTGCCAACTCCCATTTTTAATGTATAGTACAACAAATTGAGTATTTTTACTCTGTTGGACATTTTGAGATTAGACGTTTTGGTGTGGGACATTTTGTCGTGGGTCGTTTTGTGGGTTGGACAAGATTTACTTTTTGTCAGTTATCGACATTTTTATAAAAACGACTCCATTTTTGCTCAAAAAATGTTTCAAAATGTTGAATAAACGGCAAAATGTTTTAATAAATAGTTTATAATTAAAAAAATGACGCATAAATGGTTATTTTTTGCTTTTAGCTTAATTTTATAAGCCAGATAACTTTTTTTACCTGCCTATTTTTGTGCCTTTTTTGGATTTTTGGTGCCTATTTTAGGCGCCTATTTCACTGATTTTACATGCCTAACTATCACAGCTTTAATAATAATACTCCAAAAGTTACAGCTGCAACTGTAACTTTACGTTCGGCAAAGAATTTTAAATAAAATTAATGATTAAATACATAAATGTAAAAACTCTCGAATGTTATTTATAAATTAGTTTTAGAAAAGTTTTTGAGAAAAGGAGAGAAGAGTGGCCACCTGTACTTGATAAGTATACTATCCTTGATAAGTATACTATCAAATTAAAAAAACATTTTTTGATTTAACCAAATTTACAACAAAAAGTTTGCTTTGAACCGTCCGAAATCCGAAATGGAAGCCATGACATTATATCCCAAAGGGACAGCCCAAGTAGGCGCGAGGCCATATGGCGCAAAGCCATAACTTCCTGAAAAATTTTGGGCCCTAATCAATTTTGATACCAATCTCTTTAGATCGATGAGAGGAATTGTTGAATACTAAATATTCAGATATCGTGAAGCAAATTATGGCTTTGCGCCGTATGGCCTCGCGCCTACTTGGGTTGTACCCTATCCCAAAAAAGAGAAGACATAAAAGGGAGAGTTTGCAGGGTGTAAAACATTTTCTTTTGTTATTTTTTCTCTTCGTTTATTTAATTTTGTTTTTTTTAAATTTCAAAGCAATTGTTTTAGTTTTATTTTATGGATCGCAAAATGACGTTAACAAACGGAGCTTCTAGTGGAAATGCTGGTGTCAATCCTGGGGGTGGATTTGGTTTTGATGCTGCAAATCTGTCTGCTTCAGCAAATATGCAAATTTTGCTCCAAACAAATAATGATCTTATTTTGTCTATTTACAAGACGATTGTTGATTCGACACAAGAAATTAATCGTAAAATTGTAAGGGTTTATTTTTATATTTACAATTTTTGGATCAGATAATTTGGGGTTGGGCTCTTCTCAGTTTGGGGTTGTTAATCCTACATTCTGTGCTTGAAGCAAAATTAATCTTTGGGGTCCGAATATCTTATGGTCGTCTAGAACCCTCTAACTGCTATCATTTTGATAACTTTTATTTATTTTCCAGGAAGCTCTTCGTGATGATATTCGGGATATTAAGTTGAATCAGCAACGCAATGACCGCACTCTCCAGGAGGAAGCAACTATGTGGCGTACTCACACGGAGCAATTACTTGCTGGACAGGGAAGTCGTCATCTTCAAGATGTTAGTCGACTTCAGGATATGCTTATGAAATTGGTGGTTGCTCAACCTCCTCAACTTTCAACATCTACGGGCAGTTTTGTTACGCAAGAAGGTTTCCTTTTAGATTTTTCATGAGGCCCTTAAAGTTAGCATATTTTACCTTTAATTACGCCGTCTTTTGAGGTTTCCGTTTTTGTGGGTGATTTTCATTTTCTTGAAATCTTTATTTACCACCTTTCTAATAACACTTTTCTAGCTGTTGGTGGAGGCTTTGCCACTTCTGCTACTGCTCCAGTTGTTACTGCTCCTGTCGTCAATGCACCTGCTGCTGCTCCTGTCGCCATTCCTTTGACAGCTGTCGCTACCATTCAGGCAACTACTACGGTGCCACTTGTAACTGCTATCGCTCCAATTATTACTACGGCACCGTCGATTGTTGCTTCCACTACTCCATTGAGTACAACGTCTCCGTATACCATTCATTCGGCGCCCAGTTTTACTACAACAAAGCCAACTTTTGTTACCTATACTCCGGCTATTACAACCACTACACCGACTGTTACTTCGACAATGTCGTCAACTACTACTAATACAACTTTTGGAGTTACTGGCACTGTACCTTTTGGTGGAAGTTTGTTTGGCGGTGGAAATAATGCTGGAACTAATGTATTGAATTAATTATACGGCTTTTTATTTTCTTGTTTTTTCTGGTCCTATAAATCAAAGCATTATACGGGGTTAGGATTTGATTGACTTCTTCCGTAGATTTCTTACTTCCGTACATTTCTTTTATTGAAGCTTTGCCAAATATTAATTTTCTTTTGTTAATAGACTTTTGCCAATCTTGCTGCTAAGGCTGCTCAATCAAAGCCTGGACAAGCTGGTGGTGGATTTTTAAGCGGTAATAATGGTGGCATTTCATCTGATGGATCGAAGCAGTCTCTTTTTGGGGCCTCGCCATTTAGTGTATCTAATACTACTGGATCTTCTGCAAAGGATTTTAAGGTTGTAAATTTTGTTTTTTTTTAAATTTTTTTTTAGTTTTTCACTCCTCATACAAAAACTGAAACTCGTGGTGATGGGGACGAATCTGATAAGGAGGATGAGACTGCTGAGGATTATACTCCTGATGTTCATTATGAGCCCGTTGTTCCTTTGCCACCTGAGGTTGAAGTTGTCAGTGGGGAGGAAGGCGAAGAGGTTTTAATTTGTTTTTTATAACGAAAATTTTATTTATTTTGCTCATTGTAGAAAAGTTTTGAAACTTTTTCACGATCATTAAGACAAATTCTACTTTTTTCCTTTTAAGGTTACTTTTGTTGCTCGCTGCAAGCTTTATCGTTATGATCGTCAATTAAAAGAGAACAAAGAACGTGGGCTTGGCGATATTAAGGTTTTTTAGCATATTATTACTAATGAACATCAAAAGACAAAGGAAATTTCATTTTAAAGATCCTCTTCAATCCAACGACCAAAAAGTACCGTTGTGTAATGCGCCGTGAGAAGGTTTTTAAGATCTGTGCAAACTTTCCTGTTGTTCATGATTTGTCTCTTCATAAACGTGAACAAATGCCAACTGTTTACACTTGGGCTTGCAAAGTTTTTTTACTTTTCTTTAATTAATAATTCTAAAAATACAGGATTTTTCTGAGGATACTGTTGGTGGTTTGGACGAGACTTTTACTGCACGTTTCAAGGATGCTAGCATCGCTGAGGAATTTCATCAGGTTTGTTTAACATTCTGTTTGGTTTTTTTTTGATTTCCCGTGCTGGCTCGAAATTCTGATTTTTTCTATGAAAATTTATGATTTTCGCGTATACACATCGAAATAATTTTAATTCTGACAATGAATCTTTAAATTTATTTCAGTTTTTATTTTTTTATATTTAGAAGATGACCGAGGCTATTGATGCAATGCAATGAGGATATGTTGTCAACAACAAACTTAAAGTGAAGAGGCGGAGATTAAAAACATTGTTTGGTTGTTATATTTTAATTATCTCATTGTCAGCCACTTTTATAAATTTCACAATCATTTAAAAATATTTTTGAACCAAAATATGTTTTCAATTGACTTTGGATATATTCATTTTGTTATCGTATAAATAAATGTTCGTGGCTATTTTGTAGTTTTTCTTTCTTCATCTCGTTTTTCGATTTTAATTATTTTTGTTAATTCAACTTTTCTAATAATTTTAGGTATAATTTTAAAATTCAATGACAGTTTATCATCTTTTAATTATTAATCGTGCTGGTTCATTAATTTATGATTGGGAAAATCGCCGCTCTGTGGATCCACAAATAGCTCCTTTAAGTGCTAATGAGAAGATTATTTTGGCGAGTATTTTTCATTCACTCTACACAATAGCTTCTCAATTAAGTCCGGTGGCCAAAAGTAGTGGAGTTGAAGTTTTGGAAACAAGTCAATTTAGGTTTGGTATTTTTTTAATGGTGCTGGATGTCCTGAAAGGATTTCATTATTTGAAGATGTTTTGTCTTTTCATTTAGACATTCTAAAATTCTGCCCAATTAATTTTTAGTTTATTTCATTTTGTAGATTACAATGTTTTCAATCATTTACTGGCATTAAATTTGTTGTTATTTCTGCCTATACAAATACACAAAATGTTGAATCTTTATTGAGGAAAATTTATGAACTTTACGCGGATTATGCATTAAAGTTAGTTTTTTAATTCCTTGATTGACTGAATTTTATTGGATTTTTCTTTTTAAATTTTATTTTTTGGCTTGGGATTTACTTTGGTTTCCCTGACACTTAGGAAACCAAAATATTACCTATTTAAATGATATCAAAAAATATTTTAATATTTTAGAAATCCTTTTTATTCAATTGACATGCCAATTAGAGCTGAAAAATTCGATGCTTCTATGAAAATTGTGATTGAGAGGTTTGAGAAATCTTTACCATTATTGTGATCTCTAATAACCTTTCTCTTATTTGTTTATATTTTCAAATAAATAAATTATTTTTTTAATAAAAATTTATTTTTCAATTTTTAAAGTTTTATTGTTCTTTAAATACTTTTCTTTAATTAAATATTTTTTTATTAAGATTGAATAAATTTAAAACAAAAATTTATTTAGAATTTGTTTTGTGTCTTCAATGTATTTGAAGTATTATTTGGACGCACAAGGGAATCGCGTTTATACACTTAAGGTTTATTTAAATTTTTTATTGTTTTTTGACTTGACTCGCGCCATCAAGTCTTAAATAAATAAATACTAATTCAATATAACGTTCTGGTATGTTATGATCCGGTGCCTTAACATCAATTTCAAAAATCCCAGATAACTTAAGCATTCATTTTTCTATTTTGTCTTTGATATTTTTGGAATATTTTGCGTTATTTAATTAATATATTGGGATTTTTAAATTTATGAAACGTTTTTGATTTGTGACGTGTTTTATACCTACATTAATTTACAAAAAATTTTTACTTTCAGAAGCAAGATCCAATTAACGGTAACAACACATTTTCTGCTCATCCAGCTCGCTTTTCACCTGAAGACAAATTTTCAAAGTATCGCTTGATAATTAAGAAACGATTTGGATTGTTGCCAACACAGACAGAAGCGCCCAACTATTGAGATTTTGGAAATTGTTACTTTTATTGTTTGATAGATTTTGAAAGGATTTTATTTAAAATTTTATTTTTCATAAATTTTCAGTTAACTGTCATTTTACAAAATTTAAATGTTTATCCGTCAATATTTTTACACTTATTATGAATTACGGCGCCGATTTCGGAGTTGGAAACGACAACTTTTCTATCATCCAAATCAGACTTATGAGGATGTTAGTTTTGTTTTTTTAATATTTTTTATTGTTGAGAGACGATTAAAAAATGTTCGAAGAAATCCAAACTTAATTTGGATTAGAAAAATTTTAATTAGATCAATCGACTTTAAAAATTTTTAAAAATTTTCTTTTTCATTTAGCTGTCCAAAAAGGGAGATTTTCTAAAATTTTGTACTCAATTACTTGTTTGGAATTTGGTTGCTATTTTAGCATTTAAACGATTCTTTAATAAAGTTTAGATTATTTTTAATAAATAAAAAATATTTGTTAAAAAATTAAGGAAATAACTTCCCTCAACGAAAAAGGAATTAAAACACCAAAACTTTCCGAACTTTGGAATGAGAGGAGTGGCCGTCCTAAAGTAAATGATGATACCAGTAAATATTACTTCAAAAATCCACTTAATTATTTAATGGATTCTGCCATTTCAAAAAGGAAACACGTGGATTTAACAAAAGCAAAATTTCCACTTGATGATATTTGAGTTAAAATTTTTGTTCCTTCTTGGCTTTGTTGTTGTTTCCCTCCTTTGTTAATTTAAAAATAAAAAAATTATTTTTGATTTTTTTTAATTTAAATAATTTCTAGAAATTATATGTATTTCTAACATATTTTTAAACATTGTTCACCACAATTTACTTGCTTCTAATTTTAAAAATTTAGGAATAAGGACAGGTATTCCTAGTTTTCAGTTGGTTGGGGTTTTTACAATCCCTCATAAATTTAAGTTTGATATTTGTTAAATAATTCTTAAAAATTTCTACCATTATGTCAACTGAATCAAACTCTTCAATTTCTGGCTCGTCAACAAGGGTTCCATTTTTTCGACGACAAAAACCTCAAACTTCTATTCGACAACGACAAATTGAGAAGGAGGATTTAAATAAAATTGATGAAGATAATTCTAATGAAGAAGAAAGTGATGATTCTTCTGCTTCAGGTGAATCAACTGGAGCTGAGAAAATTAGACTTAAAATAACTGAAAAGAGGAAAATGAGAAATAATCGAATGCAAACGGTTTGTTTTTTTTTTTGAAATTTTTGTATTTTATTTGGGGTTATTTAAATACCTAGATTATAAGTTTGAGATACCTAACACCGAAAAACTCTAAATAAACGGGTGAAAAAAGCTCGGATTACCAAATAAATACCACCCTATATTTTTTTGGTTGGGTATTATAGAACGGGGTGTTTTGTGTCGATAATATGTGATAATTTTCCAAATGAATTTTCGCTGAAAAAACTTTGTGCTGCTTCGGTGGTAGGCTCGCTACGTTTGCCGACCAAAGGCTGGTGTTTTACACAGCTAATTGAGGCTGTTGGCTTTCAATAGAACCTATAAATTTTTTAAAATCTCTTGATGTTAATGAATATGTTAAAATTTTACTTATTTAGAGCATCAAAAAACGCCGAACAGAGGATTTGGATGAATCCAGTGGAACTGATTCTAATGAAGATGTGGTTAAATTTGAACATGATGTGAAGGTTGTTAACTTTAAAATTTGTTTAGGTTTTTTTCTGTTATGCATCCAATAAGGAGTAGAAGGAATGGGGATCTATCTTGATTTTTTTTTCACTTTCTTTTTGAGTAATCCTTTTAAAAATTAAACCCGGAAATGGAATAATTTTTAAAATATTGTCTTCTAACTTTTCTTTCCCTTATTTCATTTTTATAGACTTGCATATTTTACCGACTTTTGGATAACTTACACAAAAGAACCTTTGTTTTATTTTAAAATAAATTTTTTTAGTTTTCATCAAGTGGAGCAAATCGAACAGTTCCAAATGATATGGGTGCAACTGCTAGAACAGAAATAGATACAGATCATACCATGGATGCACAATCGCAATTTGAACGTGTTCAAAAAATATTGAAAAATAAACGATTGGAAATGGAAAAAAATTTGGCTATTGAAGAAGAAGAGCGGAAAAAGTATGGAGAAAGAGCTAAAAGACCAAGCAGACTACAAGAAGCTGGAACTTCAAAGGTTTTTCTAAAATTTTAAAATATGCCTATACCTTTGAACGATATAAGTTAGACTTAAATGCTTTTTTGTAATTTTTCAGGAACAGCCAAAAATTTACCAAGGATTAGCACTTTATGGGGCAAAAGAAAAAGAGGACACTGTCAAAGGAAATGCTTCAAGTGGACTAAACAGAATGGGACCAATACGTGCAACACAATATATGAGGGCTAGTGTTCGTTGGGATTATGCTCCGGATATTTGCAAAGATTACAAAGAGACTGGATATTGCACTTTTGGAGGTTTACTTTTTATTTTTCACAATTTTTGAGATGGGAGGATGGGGCAATGTTTTTATTTGATTCCCATCAACCCTCCCTTGTATTTGTAGACAAACTTTAAGTGAAGGGCCCTTTGATTAAAATGAATGGATTTTTTGTTTTTTTTTTCAAAATTTCCCTCTATTTTTTCTTTTTTAGATTCTTGTAAATTTATGCACGACAGAACAGATTATAAACATGGATGGGAAATTGAAAGAGATTGGGAGGAAGGGAAATTAAAAGAATCAAAGGATGATGAATTTTTGGTTAGTAGTGAAGCAGAAAGTGATACAGAACAAGACAAATTGCCTCATAGTTGTTATTTTTGTAGAGAAAATTTTAAGCAGCCAGTTGTTACAAAGTAATTTTTTAATTTAATTTTAAATTTAATTTTTAATTATTTAAAGATGTAAGCATTATTTTTGTGAAGTTTGTGCACTCCAACATTATCAAAAATCTAAAAAATGTGCTGTATGTGGTGAAAAGACTGATGGGGTTTTCAATGTGGCTAGAGGTTGATTTTTAATTTAAATGGAGTTTTTAATTATTTCTGGCCCTCCTTCGAGAACGCCAAATTAAATCAAAATATTTTTAGATATATTAGCAAAAATCAAAACTCGTAATGAAGCCAAATTAAAAGAGGAAATAGACGAAGATTCAAGCCCTGAACGAATGGAAGTTAAAACTTTAGAATTTGCAGAAGAAAGGGAATGTGAAGGAACAAATGATTAATTTAGTTAAAATAAATGCTGTATTTTTAATTTTCCAGTTTACTAAAAAAATTTTTTTGACATATTAAAGATAATATACTTACAGAATATTTAAATTTCTATATAGCTAATTTTACTACAGTTAATTTCTTATTCTGTTGTTTGTGGGGTTTAGGGACGCAGACTTTTCTTTTAAAGAGGAAGTCCGAAACACTTACAATTAGCTATTTAATTTTTATTTGGGATTTTAACGTCTCCTTCGCCCGTAGCCAAAAACTTAATTTTAAGAGATTTCAGGAACTTCAGGGTCTATTATTTGTCTAAATTCTTAATTTTAAGAGAAATATGCCAATTTTATCAAAACCATTATTTGGACTTGTAAGAAAAGGTGGACATGTTATTTGGAAAGAAGAAAGCGCTATTCGATTCCCAGTACTTAAAAAATTGCCTCCATCCTTTGGAGGACCTATGATTTTCTTATTTCTTGGTATAATGCCAACAATTCTTTATTTTAAAGCACAAAAAGATTATAATCCTCTTTCCTGGTATGCAAGTATGTTAAAAAATTTTTAAATTTAGTGGCAAAATCGATTTTTCCTGACCCCGGATTCCAGATTTGTAACTTGAGCAGGACTGGATCCGACCGGATTTGGGACCCAGACTCCGGAAAAATCCAACCGGATCCGGTCACTATAAATAATTATTCCTAGGAAAAAATGCAGGAAAATATTTCTGTTTACTTGCTTATAGAGAATATTAATTGAAAAATAGCTCTTGAGACAGAATTTTTTTAAATCCCTCAATAATTTTTATTTTTTAGAAGTTTGGAAATATGTTGAATTGAAGTTTGATGGTTTATTCCCGTCTAGTTCAACCTTTGACAAGTTGGTTTTTAATTTTTATAAAGAGGGGATAGAAGGGATGTTAGGGGGCGGTTTCCTTATAAAATAATGCCTTCAAAGAGTAAGAATATAATAATGATTTTACACTAGAGGAGACTTTTTTAAATAGAGGGAGGGGGGTTCTAAAAAAATCTAATGGAAGAGCATCAAAATTTTATGTCTTTTTCCATGAGATTTTATCACCTTCAAATGAATTTATTTTTATTGTTAAGCATGCCTAATATTAATTTTTTAAAGATCTTTAACACCGGAAGAGGAACAAGAATTACGTCGAAAACAAGATGCAACTCCCCCAATTTTTAAGAAGAGTGAGAAAGAAATGGATAGATTATTTAAAAAACTTGGATTTAATCTTTAACGGAAAAATTGTTTTTAGGTTTAAATTAATTTTTAATTGTGTTCGAAAATTAATTGGTTGAATGTTTTTTGCTGATTAAATCTGTCTAATAAAGAAATTAAGGTTTACCTACACGGGTATCTTTTTTTATTTAATTTTAAGTGTGTTTACTACTTAAAGGGTTATTTGATTTTACAATTTATTTGTAATAATTTTTCTAGTCAAATCAACTTTAGATCAAATTTAAAAAAAAATTTATCTAGAATATTCGTAAATTGGCATTTTAATTTTCTTTTTAATTTAAAAAATCAAAACATTTTTCCTTTCTCTTTTTCTTCAAGCAATAGCATTAACAGCTCGCAATTCAGCTTCTAACTTTCCCGATTTAGCCGCAGCAGCCGTGTCATCTCCGCCGCCAAAAAATTTCCCGCCAATGAAGACGCGTGGAACCGAGCTTTAAAAATAATTTTTATTTTCTAATCCCTCCCCTTCCCCCCTTAAATTATTTAATTACCGCTGTCCAGTAATTTCTTTAAGATAATCCTGAATTTTATCACAATCTCCTAAAAAATTAATTAAACAAAAATATTTATTTATGTAAAACAAACCTCTATCTTCAATTTCAACAACCTCCATCGTGCCAGGTACAAGACTAAAAGTAGTTAATGCTTCCTTTGCTTTTGCACTAAAAATGTTTAAAATAAATTATTTTTATTTTAAGTTGATGTTTAGAAAGTGTTTATTAATTTTCGGTTATTTCTAGAGATCGGAATTTTGTTCCGTACCGTATTCCGTACCGTACTACCGTATAATACCGATACCGATAAATACCGATAAAATTCAAAATTTTACCGTTCCGTAGAACGGTACGGAATACCGAAAAATACCGATACCGAAAAATACCGATAAAAATTTATCGGTATTCCGTACCGTATTTAAAAAATTAATTTAGTTAAAAATAATTATTTTTATTTCTAAATTGTGGAGATAAACACACGCAGACGCAAATTTTGAGAAGATGTAAATCCAAGAAACAACATTTCTTCCTTTTTAGCGCCGCAGGCGAAAATTTTGAAAATTATCAAGGGCCGAGAGCCTTTTTTCGCTTAAAATAAAATAAAACTTTAATAATTTTTATCGATCGGTATTATCGGTATTTTGTTTTGTTACCGTTCCGTAAAACGGTACGGAATACCGAAAAATACCGATACCGAAAAATACCGATCAACTTCAAAATTTTGCCGTACCGTATTCCGTGCCGTACTACCGATACGGAATACCGATAAATACCGAAAAATACGGCCGTAGTACGGTACGGCCCGATCTCTAGTTATTTCTCCCAAATTTTCTTTCTTTCACTTTTCTCTTTAAATTACAAATCTGGGTACACCCCGATGTGCCGCGAGCCCAATATACCGCCGAGCTATAACTTTGTTCAAAATTGTCGAACCCGTGGCATATGGTTCGGTTCAGCTTGTCGAGCCGCATCGAACCATACTACTGTCAAGGATTCGAAAATTTTAAAGAAAGTTATAGTCGGCGGTACATTGGGCTCGCGGTACACCGGCCTGCTCCCAACAGATCCATCTTAAATTAATAAAAAAGGAAAGGGTTTTTGGAAAGAATAACCAAAAAAACTCTTTTTTGTAACAATTAATCATTACAAAAAAGTTAATTCCTCACCCATAACCCCTGCTAATTTATTTTAAAAAATACCAATATGGGCAATAAGACTTGGAGAAAACAACAACTTTGTTTGTCTAAAAATAATTTTTAAAAATTTTAAAAATTAAAAAGAAACCTTAATAAGACTGTCGACAAAACTTTTTGGAGTAACGTCGGCCATTATGCTTCGAGTAAAATAATTTAAAAAATACTTCAGATTGTTTTTAATTCTAAAATTGAGAAATTCAGCTAGGCAAATATTTAAATTGAAAATAAAATTTTAAATGATATTCGAAAGAAAAAATAATGAAGAAATGAAAAAGATATGGCGTTTTTCCGGGACACGCCCAAATAGGCGCGAGGCCATAAAGGCGCAAAGCCATAACTCGATGGAAAATTTTTAGCCCTTAACAATTTTGGTACCAATCTCTTTAGCTCGATGGGAGGAATCGTTTTATGCTAAATTTGATAAGATTCGAAAATCTTGAAGCAAGTTATGGCTTTACGACGTTATGGTCGCGCGCCTAGCTGACCCTGTTTTGTCGTGGCGTTTTATCGTTATTCTGGGAAAAGGTCGATTCAGAGTCGCCGATTCAGAGTCGCCAATTCAGAGTAGCCGATTCAGAGTCGCCGATTCAGAGTAGGGACAATTCAGAGTCGGTACACGACGAATAGGCGCGGCCGAATAGGCGCGGACGAATAGGCGCCGAGACAAATAGGCGCGAGACGAATAGGCGCGGGACGAATAGGCGCCCGAAAATTTTCGCATGCGGCACCAAGAGTAGAGTATTTATATACCAATTATCCATCAAGGAACGGCTCAGAAAAATATCGGTTCAGTATCTGGAACTCAGATCAGGGCTGTCGGCTAGTGATAAAAATATTTTCCGCAGCCGCAATCCTCAGTCCGCAAGTATCCTCAGTCCCAGATATCGATTCATACCTACTTATCTTATCATCCGCTATCTCCCCAACTCACTCGACATCCAACTTACATGTATAACAAAATCAAAACAAAAAAATCAGAACAGTAAATCAGAACAGAAAATCAGAACTAAATCAGAAAAAAAATCAGAACAGAAAATCAGAACTAAATCAGAAAAAAAATCAGAACAGAAAATCAGAACTAAATCAGAAAAAAAATCAGAACAGAAAATCAGAACTAAATCAAGAAAGAGTTTTTGCAAAAGTTTAGCCACCGGGCAGGATTCGAACCTGCGACCACCTGCTAGTTGTTGCTAGGCGCTTTCGCTCATTATATGCAGGAGCTCTACCTCTGAGCTACCGGGGCATCGACTAATGCTTTCTCTTTTTCCTTTTTAGATCGTTTATCCCCCGCCTAAGCGTTTTAAATGCTGCTGGGTGAATCATCCTTACAATCAGAAAAAAATTTTCTAGGAAAAAATAACTTCGGGCGCCTATTCGTCCCGCGCCTATTCGTCTCGCGCCTATTTGTCTCGGCGCCTATTCGGCCGCGCCTATTCGGCCGCGCCTATTCGTCCGCGCCTATTCGGCCGCGCCTATTAGTCCTGCTCCGATTCAGAGTAGCCAATTCAGAGTACGGGGAAAAGGGGACGATTCAGAGTACATAAATTTTCTGACATAGAAAATCAGCTTTTTTCTGGTTTTTCTTACTTCGTACGATCTGAAGAACACTTTAAAAGCTAGCCGAGTATTGACTCTAGGCTTTTCTTATGCTACGGTTACATAAAAATCGCGCGCGTCTTGAGACAGACGCTCGGCGACAAGACGCGCGCGACAGTCGCTAGTAGTGTGGTTACATAAAATCGGCGTCTTCCACAAAGCGACAAGACGCAAAGCGACAAACGCTGATTTTATGTAACCACGCCACTAGCGACTGTCGCGCGCGTCTTGTCGCCGAGCGTCTGTCTCAAGACGCGCGCGATTTTATGTAACCACTAAATCCGATTAAAAATTTTTTTAAATATTTATCATACTAAAATAAAATTTATAAAATCAAATCATTTTATTCTGCCATGGTACCGATCAGGGGTGGCGCTCCTCGCGTATCTCGTGAAATCTCGTGTTTTTTAGAGGTCTCGTATCTCGTATTTTGCCACAAGACACGAGATATTTTGGTAATAGTCTCGTTTCCCAGCCCCATCTTTTCCTCCCAATTTTCTACCCTATGTTTGTACGGAATGGTCAAATTTTCCCCTTTCTTTCATCAAATTTGCCTTTCCATATTTTGCCTAAAAACAATCAAAAAGATTAATTTGTGATATTTAAAAAAGTATTAGAGTAATGAGAAGAGTAATGAGAAGAATCTTATTCCTATAATTCAACATCATATACTACCTGGCACAACCATATATACAGACCTTTGGCGCGCATATGGGTCTATTCCAAAGCTTCCAGAACAATATATCCACGCCACTGTTAATCATTCAAAAGAATACGTTGATAGCGAAGATCCTAATGTCCATACACAGAACATTGAATCATTGTGGTCAACTTATAAACGAAAATTCAGACATCAAGCTGGCAACAACACTGGAACTTATAAAAGTTATCTCCCGGAATTTCTGTGGCGAAAACGATTTGGCAATATTGAAAATGTTTTTTATAATTTTTGGCATCATGTCTCACTTTTTTATCCTTGTGAAAGAAATGAATAAAAAATTAATCTTTTTGATTGTTTTTAGGCAAAATATGGAAAGGCAAATTTGATGAAAGAAAGGGGAAAATTTGACCATTCCGTACAAACATAGGGTAGAAAATTAGGAGGAAAAAATGGGGCTGGGAAACGAGACTATTACCGATATTTTCAATATATTTTAGAAAAAATGTCAAAAATTTGGGACTATTTTAGGATCCTAGAATTAGGAAAAAAGGAAGAAATCTTGCTCAGTGGTCTTCCAAAATTCTCAAATTTTCGCCTGCGGCGCTGAAGTTGGAAAGAGGTATAAAGTTGGTCAAGCGGGAAAGAGGTATAAAAATTGGAAAGATGTATAAAGTTGGTCCAATAAACTCTCTCTATCTAAAGCGGGGGTGCAGCTCGAGCCACAAAATACGAGATACGAGATTTTCAAAAAATACGAGGAAAAAAATCGCCCGATATTCTTCTATCCCTTCAGGTAGGTACCCGATATTTCCCGCTTGACCAACTTTATCCCTCTTCCGTTTTCAGCGCCGCAGGATGGAGGAGTAGGATCGAAGAGATACAGCCTATATCCAGTGATGTCAAAGTTCCAAAATTTCTCTGGAACTAGTTCCAGTTCCAGAACTAGGTTTTAAATTTTTGTAGTTCCAGTTCCGGAACCAGGTTTTAAATTTTTGTAGTTCCAGTTCCGGAACCAGGTTTTAAATTTTTGTAGTTCCAGTTCCGGAACCAGGTTTTTAATTTTTGTAGTTCCAGTTCCAGTTCCGGAACCAGGTTTTTAATTTTTGTAGTTCCAGTTCCAGTTCCGGAACTCCATTTTTGAAATTCCTTAGTTCCAGTTCTGGAACCTAACTATATTTTTTGTCCCTAACTATATATATGGTACGAGCCCTACTCTTCAAGAAATGGTCACTTTTTCGTGTTTTTGGTATCATTTGATAGAGAATCAAAAGCTCTACAACATATCAAAAAATCAGAATTTTTGACCGATTGATGAAAAAGTTATGATATAAATACTCGATATCATACTGAATATCTCAAAAATATCGAAAAAAAAGAATATTTTTTGCAAAAAGTATACCTTTTTCAAAATCAATTTTAACCCATAAGATTTAACTTTAAAAATATAAAATTTATATTGATCGATAGAGAATAAACTGAACTTTCAGAATCTTTTTAAATTTTGAAAATCGGATCAGAATTGGCCGAGAAATGATCAAGACGCTAAAAGTTGTCGCCAAAAATTCAAACATGTTTGAATTAAAAAAAGTGTCGCCGGCGACAAGACGCCGGCGGAAGACGCATTTTATGTAACCACTAGAAAAAAGCGACAAGACGCCGGCGTCTTGTCGCTGGCGGAAGACGCGGTTTATGTAACCACTCGAAAAAAGCGACAAGACGCCGGCGACAAGACGCCGGCGGAAGACGCATTTTATGTAACCACTAGAAAAAAGCGACAAAATTTTTTTCCTCTTTTCTCTCCTCTTTTTACATTATCTTTTCTGTCGCAAGACGCGCGCGATTTTTATGTAACCGTAGCATAACCGTAGCATTAGGCTTTTTCGGCCTTAGGGTAAAGTTTTGGCCTCTTCTTTTTTCTTCAGGGAACAAAATTTTAATTAAAAAATGAGTTAAATAAACAAAAATTTATCAAAAATTAAATAAAATCATTGTCCTCTTCTCACTTATTAAATTTGTGGCCCTAAAGAGGCGTTTGGGGACAAAAAAATTTCAAAAAAAATCAGAACATATGTAAAACAAAAATTCTTTTAAAAAATCTCGAAAAACAGAGTAGAAACTTCGTCGATTTAAGTTTTTGCAAGTTTTTGCAGAAATTTGGAGAAATTTAAAAAATTAAAGAAAATTTTAAAAATTTAAAATTTTTTTAAAAATTAATTTCTGCCATTTACTAATTTCCGTTGGTTGTGCAAATTGTTGTTTTTCTCTCTAGAACAATAAAAGGAAACAAAAAAGAATAAAAAGCAAAAAAAAATACATCGCTTCCTTTCCAGAAATCTCGATTTTTAGGGTATTTTATTCTATGTACTCTGAATCGTCCCCTTTTCCACGTACTCTGAATCGGCTACTCTGAATAGTCCCTACCCTGAATCGGCGGACTCTGAATTGGCGACTCTGAATCGGCTACTCTGAGTCGTCACCTACCCGTTATTCTTGGCATTTGGCGTTTTTTAAAAATTTGAAAAGTTTGCGTTTGGTGCAAGTGTAAGAGTTTTGCCACACAGTCTTATACGACTAAAAAGGGGAGGTTTTTAAAAAGTGGAACAAAACTTGGAAATTAATTTTTAAAAAATACAAATTATTTGAAATTTTTGTTGTTAACATTAATAATTTCTTTATATAATTGTTTTATTAGTAAGGGTAATTAACCCTTACTAATAAATTAAATAAGGGTTAATTTTAATAGAATATTTTTAAATAAAATTTACAAGGAAAAAAACCTGTTTATAATTTTTATTAAACTACCTATTTTTAAATACTTAAATAAATGTGATTAGGAAATTGGTGGTTTTTGATATATATTAATCTTGTTTTTTATAAACATTTATTTGTATGACGTGATTTTTTTTAAATTGAAAAAAGTTTTTAATAAATTGGAAATTAAAAAAAAAATAATTTTAAAATATTAATTTTAATTATTTTATAAATTTAAATTTTTTTTTGTGAGAAATAAATAAAGTTGCGATTATTTTTTGTAGTGTGTAGTATGTATTATTAAATTATTTTTCTAAACTTTGCTTTTGTATGACTAATCTTTAAGGGAAAATGATTTTAAATATTTTTACTATTTTTATTTAATTAGAAATGTAAGGATGATTCACCTAGCAGCATTTAAAACGCTTAGGCGGGGGTTAAACGATCTAAAACATTAAAAGACATGAGTCGATGCCCCGGTAGCTCAGTGGTAAAGCTCCTGTATATGGTGAGCGAAGGCGCGAAGCAATAACGGCGCCTAGTAAAAGTTTACCTCGGTGGCTAAACTTTTCCACTCTTTTTGAAATAACTGTAAATTAAGAATCGTCTCAGTCAAAAACTTTTTTTTTTGATTTTTGGGTAGGTAAAGAAGTAAAAAATCCTCCATTTTCTGTAGAGCCGAATAATCCTCAGTTATTTTTGTTTATATTTAAATATTTATTTGGTTTCCGTTCGGTTATTCAGAAAATGGAGTTTTTAGTAGTAAATATTAAAGAGTTAGGTAGTTAAAATAAAATAAAAAAATTTTTGTTGCTAAGGGTTTTTTGTGAGAAATAAATAAAATATTTAATTAATTCTAAGAAATTCTCTCTTTTTTTTAATTTATGAGAAATATTTAATTAAATTACGTAAAAATGAAATAATTTTTTCCTTTTATTTCGTTCCACTAAAATAATTATTTTTATATTTTTTTTATTTTTTTAATAAAAGTACCCGAAAATACATATAAATTAAAAATAATGAGTAAGCTAAAAGGAAACTTAGTCATCCAAGAATAAATTTCAGGTCCAATATTTTTTGAACAAAAATTAAAAAAACAAAAGGTTTACAAAAATTTGTTTTTTGACTAATATAGGTACATATTTTGTATTTAATCTTTTAACTTTATAAAGCAAAAATATTTAATCAAAACAAAAGTGTTTGTTTATCAAATTTAAAAAATTAATTTTAAAATATTTTTTCCTCATTTCTTTTTATTTCTTTCACTTTTTCATTTAATTTCAAAACTTTTTCTAAATCAATTTCATTCCCCCAATAGCCCCCTTTTTTAAAATAAGAACCAACAATAAATCCATCAGCATTTTTAAATTTATTAATATTATTTTCATTAATTCCAGAGCCAATAAAAGTTGGTAATGATGGACATTCTTTGTTGACATCTACATAATTTGGAATTAATAAAGAAAAATTTTGTTATAAAATTTTTGTGGTTGAGAGGAACTAGGGGAACTATTGCTACATACATGCCCCTTATTCTTAAGAGAAATTAATTATTTTAAACCTTCCAAATCTAAAACGGAAGCTTCTTGTCCAGTCGAATTTCCCGTTAAAATAATTCCATCAGCTAGAAAAAATTCAGCAGCATTAGCAGTCTGTGCAATATTAATATCTTTTGTTATTGAGTGAGAACTTTAATTTAAAAAATAAATTTTTTTTTAAATTAGTAGTAACCAATGTTTTTTCTTAATATCAACAATAATTCCAATATCCTCTGCCCCAATCATTTTTCTATATCTAAGTAAATTCCCTGCACATCCATCCATCCAACCCTCATCGGCTAAATGTCCAAAAACGAATGATTCGGCTCGAATAAAATTAAATCCTAATTTTAAATTTATTAAGAGAAAAAAAGATTATAAGAAAGGATTAAGCTTCAGACATCAAGCTGGCAACAACACTGGAACTTATAAAAGTTATCTCCCGGAATTTCTGTGGCGAAAACGATTTGGCAATATTGAAAATGTTTTTTATAATTTTTGGCATCATGTCTCACTTTTTTATCCTTGTGAAAGAAATGAATAAAAAATTAATCTTTTTGATTGTTTTTAGGCAAAATATGGAAAGGCAAATTTGATGAAAGAAAGGGGAAAATTTGACCATTCCGTACAAACATAGGGTAGAAAATTAGGAGGAAAAAATGGGGCTGGGAAACGAGACTATTACCGATATTTTCAATATATTTTAGAAAAAATGTCAAAAATTTGGGACTATTTTAGGATCCTAGAATTAGGAAAAAAGGAAGAAATCTTGCTCAGTGGTCTTCCAAAATTCTCAAATTTTCGCCTGCGGCGCTGAAGTTGGAAAGAGGTATAAAGTTGGTCAAGCGGGAAAGAGGTATAAAAATTGGAAAGATGTATAAAGTTGGTCCAATAAACTCTCTCTATCTAAAGCGGGGGTGCAGCTCGAGCCACAAAATACGAGATACGAGATTTTCAAAAAATACGAGGAAAAAAATCGCCCGATATTCTTCTATCCCTTCAGGTAGGTACCCGATATTTCCCGCTTGACCAACTTTATCCCTCTTCCGTTTTCAGCGCCGCAGGATGGAGGAGTAGGATCGAAGAGATACAGCCTATATCCAGTGATGTCAAAGTTCCAAAATTTCTCTGGAACTAGTTCCAGTTCCAGAACTAGGTTTTAAATTTTTGTAGTTCCAGTTCCGGAACCAGGTTTTAAATTTTTGTAGTTCCAGTTCCGGAACCAGGTTTTAAATTTTTGTAGTTCCAGTTCCGGAACCAGGTTTTTAATTTTTGTAGTTCCAGTTCCAGTTCCGGAACCAGGTTTTTAATTTTTGTAGTTCCAGTTCCAGTTCCGGAACTCCATTTTTGAAATTCCTTAGTTCCAGTTCTGGAACCTAACTATATTTTTTGTCCCTAACTATATATATGGTACGAGCCCTACTCTTCAAGAAATGGTCACTTTTTCGTGTTTTTGGTATCATTTGATAGAGAATCAAAAGCTCTACAACATATCAAAAAATCAGAATTTTTGACCGATTGATGAAAAAGTTATGATATAAATACTCGATATCATACTGAATATCTCAAAAATATCGAAAAAAAAGAATATTTTTTGCAAAAAGTATACCTTTTTCAAAATCAATTTTAACCCATAAGATTTAACTTTAAAAATATAAAATTTATATTGATCGATAGAGAATAAACTGAACTTTCAGAATCTTTTTAAATTTTGAAAATCGGATCAGAATTGGCCGAGAAATGATCAAGACGCTAAAAGTTGTCGCCAAAAATTCAAACATGTTTGAATTAAAAAAAGTGTCGCCGGCGACAAGACGCCGGCGGAAGACGCATTTTATGTAACCACTAGAAAAAAGCGACAAGACGCCGGCGTCTTGTCGCTGGCGGAAGACGCGGTTTATGTAACCACTCGAAAAAAGCGACAAGACGCCGGCGACAAGACGCCGGCGGAAGACGCATTTTATGTAACCACTAGAAAAAAGCGACAAAATTTTTTTCCTCTTTTCTCTCCTCTTTTTACATTATCTTTTCTGTCGCAAGACGCGCGCGATTTTTATGTAACCGTAGCATAACCGTAGCATTAGGCTTTTTCGGCCTTAGGGTAAAGTTTTGGCCTCTTCTTTTTTCTTCAGGGAACAAAATTTTAATTAAAAAATGAGTTAAATAAACAAAAATTTATCAAAAATTAAATAAAATCATTGTCCTCTTCTCACTTATTAAATTTGTGGCCCTAAAGAGGCGTTTGGGGACAAAAAAATTTCAAAAAAAATCAGAACATATGTAAAACAAAAATTCTTTTAAAAAATCTCGAAAAACAGAGTAGAAACTTCGTCGATTTAAGTTTTTGCAAGTTTTTGCAGAAATTTGGAGAAATTTAAAAAATTAAAGAAAATTTTAAAAATTTAAAATTTTTTTAAAAATTAATTTCTGCCATTTACTAATTTCCGTTGGTTGTGCAAATTGTTGTTTTTCTCTCTAGAACAATAAAAGGAAACAAAAAAGAATAAAAAGCAAAAAAAAATACATCGCTTCCTTTCCAGAAATCTCGATTTTTAGGGTATTTTATTCTATGTACTCTGAATCGTCCCCTTTTCCACGTACTCTGAATCGGCTACTCTGAATAGTCCCTACCCTGAATCGGCGGACTCTGAATTGGCGACTCTGAATCGGCTACTCTGAGTCGTCACCTACCCGTTATTCTTGGCATTTGGCGTTTTTTAAAAATTTGAAAAGTTTGCGTTTGGTGCAAGTGTAAGAGTTTTGCCACACAGTCTTATACGACTAAAAAGGGGAGGTTTTTAAAAAGTGGAACAAAACTTGGAAATTAATTTTTAAAAAATACAAATTATTTGAAATTTTTGTTGTTAACATTAATAATTTCTTTATATAATTGTTTTATTAGTAAGGGTAATTAACCCTTACTAATAAATTAAATAAGGGTTAATTTTAATAGAATATTTTTAAATAAAATTTACAAGGAAAAAAACCTGTTTATAATTTTTATTAAACTACCTATTTTTAAATACTTAAATAAATGTGATTAGGAAATTGGTGGTTTTTGATATATATTAATCTTGTTTTTTATAAACATTTATTTGTATGACGTGATTTTTTTTAAATTGAAAAAAGTTTTTAATAAATTGGAAATTAAAAAAAAAATAATTTTAAAATATTAATTTTAATTATTTTATAAATTTAAATTTTTTTTTGTGAGAAATAAATAAAGTTGCGATTATTTTTTGTAGTGTGTAGTATGTATTATTAAATTATTTTTCTAAACTTTGCTTTTGTATGACTAATCTTTAAGGGAAAATGATTTTAAATATTTTTACTATTTTTATTTAATTAGAAATGTAAGGATGATTCACCTAGCAGCATTTAAAACGCTTAGGCGGGGGTTAAACGATCTAAAACATTAAAAGACATGAGTCGATGCCCCGGTAGCTCAGTGGTAAAGCTCCTGTATATGGTGAGCGAAGGCGCGAAGCAATAACGGCGCCTAGTAAAAGTTTACCTCGGTGGCTAAACTTTTCCACTCTTTTTGAAATAACTGTAAATTAAGAATCGTCTCAGTCAAAAACTTTTTTTTTTGATTTTTGGGTAGGTAAAGAAGTAAAAAATCCTCCATTTTCTGTAGAGCCGAATAATCCTCAGTTATTTTTGTTTATATTTAAATATTTATTTGGTTTCCGTTCGGTTATTCAGAAAATGGAGTTTTTAGTAGTAAATATTAAAGAGTTAGGTAGTTAAAATAAAATAAAAAAATTTTTGTTGCTAAGGGTTTTTTGTGAGAAATAAATAAAATATTTAATTAATTCTAAGAAATTCTCTCTTTTTTTTAATTTATGAGAAATATTTAATTAAATTACGTAAAAATGAAATAATTTTTTCCTTTTATTTCGTTCCACTAAAATAATTATTTTTATATTTTTTTTATTTTTTTAATAAAAGTACCCGAAAATACATATAAATTAAAAATAATGAGTAAGCTAAAAGGAAACTTAGTCATCCAAGAATAAATTTCAGGTCCAATATTTTTTGAACAAAAATTAAAAAAACAAAAGGTTTACAAAAATTTGTTTTTTGACTAATATAGGTACATATTTTGTATTTAATCTTTTAACTTTATAAAGCAAAAATATTTAATCAAAACAAAAGTGTTTGTTTATCAAATTTAAAAAATTAATTTTAAAATATTTTTTCCTCATTTCTTTTTATTTCTTTCACTTTTTCATTTAATTTCAAAACTTTTTCTAAATCAATTTCATTCCCCCAATAGCCCCCTTTTTTAAAATAAGAACCAACAATAAATCCATCAGCATTTTTAAATTTATTAATATTATTTTCATTAATTCCAGAGCCAATAAAAGTTGGTAATGATGGACATTCTTTGTTGACATCTACATAATTTGGAATTAATAAAGAAAAATTTTGTTATAAAATTTTTGTGGTTGAGAGGAACTAGGGGAACTATTGCTACATACATGCCCCTTATTCTTAAGAGAAATTAATTATTTTAAACCTTCCAAATCTAAAACGGAAGCTTCTTGTCCAGTCGAATTTCCCGTTAAAATAATTCCATCAGCTAGAAAAAATTCAGCAGCATTAGCAGTCTGTGCAATATTAATATCTTTTGTTATTGAGTGAGAACTTTAATTTAAAAAATAAATTTTTTTTTAAATTAGTAGTAACCAATGTTTTTTCTTAATATCAACAATAATTCCAATATCCTCTGCCCCAATCATTTTTCTATATCTAAGTAAATTCCCTGCACATCCATCCATCCAACCCTCATCGGCTAAATGTCCAAAAACGAATGATTCGGCTCGAATAAAATTAAATCCTAATTTTAAATTTATTAAGAGAAAAAAAGATTATAAGAAAGGATTAATTCTGAATGGTTAATCTTTAAGTAAAAAGTCCGTATCAAAGGGCCGCTCTATTAGAGACGGCCGTTCAAATGGAGGCGGCCACTCTATTAGAGGAAATACGGCAAGCTAAAAAGAAACTTTGCCGTCGTCTTTACACACTTTTAAACAGACTAGGACACGTATACTGATTTTGGTATCCGTATCCGGATATTTACGGCAGATACAAGCGGATATCCGCAGGCATTTTTACAATATCTGTATCCATGTCCTAGTCTGCTTTTAAATTATTTTTTTTTATCAAAAAATAGAGAGGAGGAGCTTATCGGCTTTATTTATTTAACACTTACCCGAAGCATGTGCCACAGCTATAGCTGTTTTATTAGCCCCAGCCAAAACTTGAATTCCCAACAAAAATTTATTTCTTTTATTTCCCAAAATATTTAAACATTCTAAACAAGATTTAGTCATCCAAGAACAAATTTCAGGTCCAATATTTTCATCAAATTTTTGATAAGGCAAATCATGCATATTTTCAATAATTATTCCATCCTTTTTAAATAATTATTTTTTGTTATTTAAATTTATTTTTATTTAAATACCAATTCACTTTTTAAATAAATTTCTGTTTCTTTTTGAACTTTTTCAACAATTTGCTCAACAGGCATAACATGCTTTGGTGTTCTTAATTGATAATTAAATTTAGGCATTATTTAATTGATGGTTTCAGGTCCAATATTCCTTATAAACAAGATTCAGTTATTTTTTTCTTTTTTTGTCGGCAACTCAAAAAGATCAATCGCGCGAGATTTAAAGGGATAAATTTATTTTAAATGGTTCGCAAAGGCCTTTGGTAATAACAATCCAAAAGAATTTTGGAGGCGAATTAAACATTCACCAATCTAATTTTAATATTATCTACTAAGGTTGGCGGATCCGGATATCCGGATCCGAAAAAAGGCCGGATATCCGGAAATTTTCGGTTCGGATACCGGATCCGGATCCGGATATCCGAAATTTTCGGTTCGGATATCGGATCCGGATATCCGAAAATTTCGGTTCGGATATCGGATCCGGATATCCGAAAGTTTCGGTTCGGATCTTGGAATTAGTAAAAATGGAAGAAATCCTAGCCTTTGGCCTTCCAAGCTTCAAAAAATTTTCGCCTGCGGCGCAGGAAAAGGAAGAACTCGGGCTACTGGACGTTCCAAAATTGCAAAATTTTCGCCTGAGGCGCTGAAAATGGAAGAAATCTGGTTTCTTGTGTTCCAGTGTCTCTATATCTCTCGTAATTCCCAACCCCAGCTCTTAATCTCTATATCATCCATTGGGACTCAATTTTACAGCGCCGCAGGCAAAAATTTTGAAAATAAAAATTTCGGTTCCGGATCCGGATATCCGAAATTTTCGGTTCGGATATCGGATCCGGATATCCGAAAATTTCGGTTCGGATACCGGATCCGGATATCCGAAGATTTCCAACTATCCGCCAACCTTATTATCTACTAATTCTCAATTAAGTTATACTCTAAATGCTTTAATTTTAGGCATACACTGCGGTGCATATGTTTATGCACACTAGTTTTTTGTTCATAAGTTTATGCACACTTATTCAAAAAATATGTTCTATATGGCAATCGAAAGCTCTATCTGTATCTCATTTGACTGTTTCTGCATTTTTCGAAATTCTGATATTTTCGAAAACTTTTCGACCGGTCTAACAGGTACTACATTAGTAGTTAACCCGTCGTATAAGTCGTCAGGGGCAGCGGGGTCCATCCATTTAGCCCCTCCCACTAATTAAACGGTCAATTATAGTCAGAATTACTCCGTCGTCAGAGTCCAAGGGGTTTCCAAAAGGTTTAAGAAGTAATTTTAAACCGGTTTAAAAGGTTCAAAGAAGATTTCCCACATTTTCACAAGATTACGTATCCAAAAGGTAAAAATTGTTGCTAAAGGTTTAAGGGTTCAAGAAGTAGTTTTTAAACGGTTTAAAGTAAGATTTCCCATATTGTTTACAAGATTACAATTAAACACAATTCACTATGTGCTAAAAGATTTAATTTGCTTGAAACGTGGTATTAAAAAGCAAAACTGTTTTTAATACACCTTGTAAACCTTATTCTCTTCACCAAAACCTTTTCTATTTGAAAAATTTTTTCAAAATTCCTGACCCCCTCAATACTTTTTCACATTCTTTTTATTGAAATTGCAACAAAAAGTGAAAATAGATAATTATGAAAAATATAAAAATTTATAAAGTAGGCGGTGAAAAGTGAACATATATAAAAATCAGTCATGCAATAATTGTTGCAAAAATAGGTCAAAAAATAGGAAAATTGATGTTGAAAAGTGAAAATTGGGTAAAATAGTAAAAAGTAGGCGTTGAAATGATAAAAAGTGAAAATAGATCAAAAATACGTATTGTGAAAATTGTTTCAAAGAATTATTAAAAATAGGCGTAGAAAAGTGAAAATAAGATAAAAATCGGTCAAATAAAATATATATATATAAATCTTAGTTTTTAGGATTTTTCTTCATTCTTTAAAAATTAAAAAAATTATTTTACTAACCTTAAATGACTCCACCACCATCAAAGCGAGCACGGATGTTCATGATCAACAATCTTCTTGATCAGCAGCTTGGCGGCGGTGATTTTTTAAAATATTTGGGGGAGGAAACTAAGATAACCCGGAAATTTAACCTTACGAAACTATCGACTAAATTTTTAATACATGGTCTACCTGATGAACCTGATGGGCTCTTAAAAGAAATTTTTCAAAAATGCATAGACAAAGCATTGGAGACGAGCCATGATCATCAACTTGATCCTGACCAACTTGGTTGCACAGTGAGCAGTCAGTTACTGGAAACTGACATTTGGATCCCTATCAGGGAAATCAACAACAACACAGTAGACGCCATACTTAATCAATTCCTAAAGGTGGCCCAATCAAAGAAGCAAGATAATGGCATGCTTTGGGGAGAGCCATTTAATGTATCGGTTACATGCATCGACAAAAAGAATCTTCCAACTACACGGGTCATTCAAGGAAGTGGGACAACAATACTACAAAAAATTAAACAACACAATCTTATTAAAATTATTAATACTGATAACTACTGCTTATTTCGTTCATTAACTGCTACTTTCGTATTCTCAACATCTTCATGGCCAAAATGGAAATTTTATGACTACATGCATAGTAGAAGAGGCATGACTCATCAACTCGAGAAAGATGCTATAGAACTTATGAATATAATTAATGCTCCTCTTGATCAATCTACTTATGCTGCAAATGATTGGGTGCCCAAAGTGGTGGACTACTGGAATTCTTTGAATAAAGGTAGCTTTAAAGTTTTTATTTTTGGAGAATTGGGTGTAAAACCTATCTATAAATATGGGGCTGAAAATTATAATACACCAATTCTTCTTTATTTTAATAATAACCATTTTGATGGAGTTAGAAAGTCAGGTGATTTGTTTGGTAAACCTTATTGTTTAGCCTGCGAAGATGTGTACCACAGAGCACAGAATCATGCTACAACCTGCACAGCAAAATGTCAAAACTGCTCCAGGATTGGACCTAACTACCCATGCCAACAAATTAACAACTTTTTCAAACATTGTTCTGGTTGTGATAAAGAATTTTACAACAATAACTGCTATGACCATCACCTTAACTCTAATTTTTGCAGCAACTCCAAAAAATGTGAAAAATGTGGAGTGATTTGGAATGTAAAAGATAACAACAGGGATGGACGCATTGGCCATGTTTGTTCCGAACGTTACTGCAACACCTGCTTTAGCTACCACGACCCTAAAAGAGGCTGCTTCATCAAACCTCTTACGCTCAAAAAGTCAAAACCCTACAGGATCATCGCTTTTGACTTTGAAACTACGCAACACAACCAAGGAGAAAACGGAAAACTACACGAAGTCAATTTCATTTCTGCAAAAATCAACTGTCCTGAATGCATCAATAATGGATTGAATAACAACTGTAAAATTTGTGGAGAGGATCGAACTATAACCTTCTCTCATCAGCCCTTTTATAATACTACAGTTGATCAAATGAACATCACTAATGATCCTTTAACTGATTTTGCAACATGGATCACCAATGCTTCAACAGATACTGTTGCCTTCTCGCATTTTGGTGGAAGGTTCGACATGGTATTAGTCTTCAAGGAACTATATCTTCAAGGACTAACTCCAGAAATGATAAAGAACGGAAATAAAATGTATGAAATGAAAGTGAAAAATTCTAATAAATGTTGGGTCATCTTCCGAGACACGTATAATCTAATGCCGATGCCTCTGGCATCTCTTGTACCTGCGTTTGGACTGCAAGTGGAAGACAAGCCATTCTTCCCACATTTGGCAAACAACCCGAAGAATTATGGAAAAAACATCTACCCAACAAGGGAAGACTACATTTGCAATGGAATGATGCCTGAAAAGCGGACATTGTTTGATAAATGGTTCGATTTGCACAAAAATGAACCCTTCAATTTGGATGAACAACTTGCATCGTACTGCACCAATGATGTAGAGATCCTAATGGCTGCACTCATCTCCTTCAGAAAAGAATTTTTGGAGATCTCAAATGGACTTGATGTTCTTCGAGAGTCAATGACTATTGCTTCAGCCTGCATGAAGCACTTCAGGATGAATCATCTCAAAGCTCAACATGTAGGGATTGTACCTGAAAAGGGTTACGACAACGTCGACAACCAAAGCTTGTTGGCGCTTCGATTTCTTAAGTGGTATGCTGAGAAGAATGACGTTACAATCAGGACAGCACACTCAAAGAATGGTGAAAAGAAAATTGGCAATTATAAATTGGATGGGTGGATTAAAGAAAAGAAATTGGCTATTGAAGTCAATGGGTGCTGCTGGCACGGATGCATCAAATGCTACCCAGACGACAACATAAAACTTCCTACAGGTCTCACAGCAGGACAACAAAGGCAAAAGGATGAACAACGTCTGAACTTTATTAAGAATTTGGGTGTGGATTTTGAGGTCTACTGGGAATGCGAAATAAGAAATATGGTCTCCAAAGATTTTGAGATGAGAAAAATGTTTAAAAATTATTTGGATGATGGGCCTATCAACATTAGGTCGGCATTTTATGGTGGAAGAACTGGCCCTTTGAAGCTTTTTCATTCTGCACAGCAAGGAGAAAAAATCTCCTACTACGACGTGACTTCCTTGTACCCCTTTATCAACGTTTCAACGCGGTACCCTGTTGGACACCCAGAAGTCCACGTCATCAACAAAGATGTGAATTGGACAAAACCCGAGGACAACATCTACAACCTTTCACTTCTAAAACTGTTTATTATTCCACCACGAAAAATCGATGTTCCAGTCCTACCTATGAAAATTGGGGAAGATGAGGATGAACGCTTACTTTTTCCTCTATGTTCTACATGTGCAAAAGAACATCCACACGGGGATGTCAAGGAAAACTACTGCTGCCCCCATTCAGACCAACAGAGAGGATGGGTGTCTACATGTACATCTATCGAGTTGAATGAAGCCCTCAAAGAGGGTTATGTTGTCACAAAACTCTTCAGAGTTCTGGAATTTAAAAGCTACGACGACAAACTCTTCAACCCATACATCAATGAATTTATGGCCCAGAAAATTCACTCGTCTGGCTTCGACAATTGCATCAAAGGGGACAAATTGAAAGAAGAT